AATAGTAATAGTACTAATAGTAATTGTGTTTTAAAATGTGCAGAAATATGTCTTGTTTAAGTTTGTGCCCTGCAGAGGTTGTGCTTACTTCTTTTCACTTAGAGATTCAGTGAAACATACAATTTGGGGTGCCCAAATACATACAGCTGTATTTAAAAATATATAATGAAAGACTGGTGGACAGAAATGACCCTTTTAGTTCAACCAGTGATATGAACAAATGATTACAGACGTCAATTTACACAAAGGGCTGTGGAAGTATGGAATAAGATACCCACTCATTTTTAGAAGCCTGTATCCACAGTTGTTTTACAAAACAGCTGGATGAAGTTCTTCGATCAGTTAGCTTCTGTTGACCAGATGGATTAGCTGGACCCAGATGGGCTCATTTGTAGCTGTTCTTATGTTCTTTTGTGTTACATTCATGCTGTGCCTTTCAACGGAACTAAAAGTGTCAGTATTTGAAGAAGGTACTTCAGCCTGATCATCAACCATATGTTACAGTTCTTTGCTCCAGTCTGTTCTTACTCATTTACTAACAAACAATTCTATTTTAAGTTAAATTCGTAGAATTTATTTTAGGACTACTTAGGAACATTAGAGATATTACCTCTTTTTCTCTTTGCTTTGTGTGATTGGTGGATGAAGACTGATAAATTAATGCCAGATTGCCCACAGAAAGTTTACCAAAAATAATGCGATTTTGTTTTTCTCTGGGTTGTTGCATTCTGTATGGATGTGTGACTCATCTCAATTTATCTTTGTTTTGCAGAACTGCCTGTGGAGAAACTCTCAGCGATGCCTGCCTTACAGAGTCTAAATATGAAATCAAATCCTCTGGACAAAGAAGTTTTGTCAGGCTTCAGCCCTTCTGTAAAATTTGAGCTTTTAACTACAGTTGTAGAGTCAGATAATGCAATATAAATTTAGAGATTTAAAGGCTTCGTATTTTTATTTGGGGAAATTTGTAGCGAATTTATTTATTGCGTATTTTTTCTCTTGCTACTAAATTGAGGTTTTTATATTTCACTTTATTTATAGTGCCAATGTGAATTATGTTTATGTTTATTTAACATGCAAGACCTCAGTGGAAGGGGCACTGTTTTTGTGCCAGTACAGCCTCCCTGCCTGCACCTGTCCTTGAATGTATCAGCCCTGATAGTGCCAGGATGACTGGAAGTCAGAAATCCCAGGATTAGAACCAGTTTTGAATATGTGATTGAGGTAGGAAGGGGACAAAGTTTTAATTTAGTCCAGATCCTCATCCTTACAAAACCGTTGTCTGACCTTTATTCAAGATGAGCTCTTCATTACTTAATGAATATGTTAATTGAGTTTAAGTGGATATTTTTTGTTGGAACGCTCTTAAGAAAATCTGAATATTTTTAGGTTATTTCTGAAACTGTGTGTATAAATGTGGAACTAAGACATGAAAACAAAATTTTAAGAGATCCAATTAAGTAAATAGTATATTTAATGATATGAGAGCTCAGATGATCCATAAATGAAAGTTTGTTTGAAGGGCAAGAGTTTATGATCCTAGGTTTGCACTACGCAACTGTCTATAAAATGTTATTAGATTTTTGAAACTTTTCATTTGGAGTTCAATTCCTAGATCTGGTTTATAAGTGACAAACATGATTTGAGGAAAATATTAATACAATATGCAGAATTAATGAAGTGTTACACCTCTGTATTCTAAAAGCGGCTGAAGTAGAAACCGTATCTTAAAATATTTAATACAGACTGTTGTTTAAATATTTAATACAGACTGTTGCAGACACAAACACACCAGGTTTTCAGAAAATAAGGTCATAGATATGAAGCTAAACCTTCACTCATCTGACAGCATGAATTCACTAGTTGCTGTACCTGAAGCTAGTGGATTGAAAGTGCATCATATATACTGTACAATACATGCAGTACATTCTCTCTCGATATATACACTCAGTCAGTTCATCTGATAGGGATCCATATGTGTCTTCCTTGAGATACCACATCAGGTTTCAGGTTTTGGTGCACAGTCAGGACAGTCTGAGATTGCTCCATAACAGTTATTGCATTTTCCCTGACCAGTGTTTCCCATTCATTCATTTTGTGAGTTAGATTTGGTGCAGACTTGTTATGTAGATGAGGAAAAGGAATGGAGCTGTGCTGTTGCACTTGGCGGGTTGGTGAGACAGATTTGGTAGTGAATTTAGAGAGGGTACATGAAGTCCTCTAATGGCCAGGAGAGCATCAGAGTGAGTGCGGATCTACTGCCTTCACATCTTCCCTTCAATAAATGAAATTCAAGTCCTGCCTGGGCTTATTAAAGATACACCATCTGTGTCCTTGGCTCTTTCTTTGGTATATGAAAAGAAACACCCTATGGCATTTTCTTTAAAGAGCTGATTTACAGATAGATTTCAAATAGTTTTGTTGTTGTTGTAAACCCACCTAATTTGGTGTCCCCACTTGAGAGTTTTCACATCTCTGTAAGCTCTTCTACCACAAAATTGACTCTGTTTTGAACTCCCCATCTTGTAACGCTTGTCAGGCAGCACAGCCCTGGACTGGAGGTGCAGTGAGACCTTACTTTTAGTTGTCAGTTTACTTTTACACTTCTGAGACCTGGAGGAAAAAAAAAATGAATAGATTATTAATTGATTATAGGAGCTTGGAATGATTTCTTATTAAAAAAGGTTTTATGCTTAAATGCCATGGCATCCTATGAGTTAGCACCTGAAACTTTAATTCTGTGGATTCCTCACAGAGGATCACAAAATACTTCACCTGTAGACAGGACCTACTCCATCCCCCACCGAAATGCAGCCCTACCTGGTCAATTCAGCCTTTCTACAGCAGCAGCCCCACAGGGGCAGCCAGGGGGAAGAGAGAAACTGCTGTGCCAGGAACTTCTGGGAGGTCAGATTGTTCAAGCCTGGAGTGCAATTGAGCTATAACAACAAGGTAACACACCTACTCTTACAAACAGCCAATGGAGGTTTAATGACCAAGTAGGGCAGTGGTTTCACATCTCATCAGAAGAATTATACTATCCTCATTTCATCTGGGTCTTTATTGCTCTCTCTCCTCCAGGTAGGCAAACACCTTCTGATTATTGTTAGCCTTAAGCCATTTGCTTGTCTAAATCGTCAGATTATGGATTTAAGGTTTTTGGTTAATGGGATTTAACTCACCTCTGGATGTCACTCTCAAGGCTCTCTGCAGGCCCAGCTTACCTTAGAAATTATTCACAAAGAAATTTAAGCTTGTATTTTATGTAGGTTTGTGAGGTTTTAATGATCAAAAATAATGTGTAATCAACAGTTCTGTTTAATTTATAAATTTTTTGATTAGCAAATTGATCACTGATGGCGATGATGCTTATCAGACATGAAGAGCTTGAAATCAGCATGATTAATAACATTGGGTTTGCAACATATCTGGACAAGTATTGCTATAAAACAGCCTGGCTGATGGAGGAAGAATGGAGTACCTACTACATATTAAAACAGTCTGGCGTGTGACTGAGTGATCAAAATGGAACTGGGAATGACCTTTTGCTTTCTCACCATATGTGCTCCTAATATGTGAATATATTGGATGGTAATAGGATGATATTTTAACAGATAGTGTTAGAGATTTGTCAGAAAGGAGTGTATTCATGCATATTCATGATATTTCTTTGTTAAACTTCCTCGAGTTTGTAATGCTTAACATGTACTGCCTATGTTCCCGATTGCATGAATTGCAGTGCTCTGCTAAAAGAACTGTTATATAATGTTATATCACCTGTCGTGTTCAAAACAATTTTTTTATATATATAAATACACAGGTATTGTGCTTCAGACTGTGGAAAACACATTAAATCGTATAATAGTGAGTCTCAGTGCATGACGCTGTCAGGCTGACAGTTTCTCACACTAAAAGCCACGTTGATTTCCATGTCGATCCCAGCACCACGATTTATTTTTTGACACCTCGATTCACGTGCTGTTGGTCCCTGACAAGTTCTCAAAAGAAAATTACCCAAGCCGTTCAAGTGATGTTAGATTAATTGAAAAATTCAACTGAGTATAAAATGACTTTACATTTAACTTGTTTTCTAGTCACAAAGTGAAATGTCTACGAAGAATTTCCTACAGAGAATTTCGGACGAGCAGCTCTGCCACGGGAAAACCGTGGAGTTGAAGACCCAACCGCAGATCCACTGAATTATTGCCGCTGGGATTACAGAACTGTACTATTAATGCCACAGAAAAATTGCAGTTAGTTTTGTTATCCACGAGATTTGACCAGCCCCAAAGTTGCCTATGCTTTGGATCAGATTTACGGTGCCCCCCGTATAACAACACAGCAAGGTTTTAGAAAAGTTTGTGAAGTTTCTGCCAGTTGTGTTCCCTCAATGTCAAAGCCTCTGTGGCCTGGCGTCTGAGCTCAACAGGCGTCACTCCCGTTTGATTGTATTGAGATGAAGAGTCATGAAAGGAGCTTTTTTAAACTGAAGATGGTCGGTGTTACTATTGTTTTAACTCCGTGGTACTGATACGTAAACCTTTTGAAACTTCGTGTTCATGCTCTCTAGAACATTAATTGCCCTGTGCCCGTTGAAAGGTTGTAACAGTGCGATCATCAGAGATAGTTTGACTTGTTACATCGCCCACATACTGTATTATCACCATGGACTGCGTATAGAAAGCAGTATATGTTGAAAGGCATTTTAAAGACTTGCATACTGGTTTGGCCATATGGTCTAACAGGTTTTATGTTTGTCGCCTGTTACCCTACTTAATTGATTTTTGTCCCATTTTTTTTTCTGCGTCTCAACTAATGGCAGCGAAGGAGTGGAATCAAAAGCACCCGTGAGACCCTTTTTCTAACGAAAAGGAGCAGTTTGAACATGTGCGGTGGGTCACGGGCTGCGTGCTGTACTGCCCCCACCCTCGTTTGCTCCCGCAGACGTCACTCAGGTACTACTGGAAGAACCTACATATGCAATTGACTGTGCGGAGCTCTTGATGACCACATTGGCCGATGTTCGCTTATGATAAAGGTGACGGGGTGTGGGGGAGGTAAACTCAGTTTCGCTGCAGCACGCCTTCTTAGACATTCGTGCTTTTCTGGTCCTCGCAGAAGAAGTCGATGCTTGAAAGTTTTATTTTATTTTTGTTAGTGAAAACGATCAGAAGTACTACGGCCAAGATACGTTGAAGTCAACAGAAACAATTTGATTAGAAAGGAGCGCATGGGTCCTGATCAGTAGCCCATCTACAGTATTATAGGAATGTTAGCCTGCTGTAACTAAACATTTCTGGGATGTCACTCGAAGATCTTTTAAATAAGTTTTCATGAACCCAAAACTGGTTTAGTCAATTTCACTCTGAAAACATATTTCGCGTTTTGGAAGGAAACGAAATAGCAATACTATTTCAAATTAGACTCCGGATTTCTGTTGGAAAGACTAGACTGTCAGCCTCTACTTAGGAAAGACTTCCAAGTGAAGCCGGGTTCAGACTGATCATGCAAGGTAAGACTAATGATTTTGTTTAATGCTGAAGTATTAGTCACAAGATACAGTTTGTTAGACTGAAAAAGGAGAGACAAATATACAAGCAACATTCCGATCCTGTCATGTATGTTAAACGTCCGTGCTTTGCAGCCTGCAATTTCTCTTAGGTCCAGTTAGCCTAAATTGAAACGGAGTTAATTTTCCTGTGCAAGAGAGTTATCGATATAAATTAATATTTTTTAAAAGAAAATTACAAGAACTTAACAGCTCCTGCGCTTGTGTCGATTAAAACCCACGATTTGAGAATGCTCTACCCCCGAAAGCGCTATGTAAAAAAATGATTGATTCATGGTAGAAAAATGCAAATGGTTGAACAGATGCTGATTTCCATGTGGCATTATTGATTTACTCTGCGTTCCTTGAGTCTTACTAGAATTTTGCAGGTAAACAACTGTTCTGAAAATGAAATACAGTACTGTATTAGAATTGTGAAAGTATGGGGAAGACATACTTTGTATTGGATGTTAAGGTGATAATAATTAGAACAACTCCTTAGAATTAAATAGCGATTTTCATTCCAAACTATGACATAGCGACCAAGTGCAGTGCATTGAACAGTTCTCACACCACGCACCAGAACTGATTTAATAGATTTTTAAAATGATATGCTTCAGGCGAGCGCTTAGTGAAGTCGTCCATTAATTCAGTCTGTCCTCTCGGATTAAACCTACCCCGAACCGATTGTTCTGAAACCTTGAAAAATTTCTCACATCTATGACGTAACACCTTCTTTTAAGGAAAAAAAAAGTTGTTCTTATATTTAAGCCTCCGCTATATCCAACCCCCTCAGTAATAACAATCGTTTCCTTTGTCCCCAATACAATAGGATTAAAAAAGTATTACCAGAAGAGAAGAAATAAAGACCTCGAGAATGATTGAATTCGTGCATGTACTTCATCAACAGTTACTACCTGTTTGTGTCGTAACTTTGTAAGGACACCCCGTTTTAACTGAGCTGAAGAAAGAAACGTTCCAGTTACAGTAGTGGGGATGCTCAACGCAGCCGACACACACTCCAGAGTATTGATCCATCCTTTCTCAGAAAGCCAGCTCTGCTGGTGAGGACCAGGGCAGCCATGAGCTCATCCCAATAGCATACCCTGGTGGACCTACCAGTCAGTCAGAGGGCACAAACACAGAAACGCCAATTAACCCAGTTAACGTTTCTCAGGGAGGAAACCAGGATTCCACCTAGGCATGCAGACTCCACAGAGAACCCCCCCCCCCACCCATTATGGAATCGAACCCAGAGTCCAAGAGCTGTGAGGCAGACAGCACTGTGCTGCTGCAATAGAGAAGAACAGCCCCATGCAGAAAATAAAAGATAAATGGGACAGCATCATGAGGAACAGCCATCAAACATCGTACCGCTCACTACCTTACGTTGTATTTGTGAACATCTAAACCTTCTGACTACCCTATGAAAAAAATCAATTCACAGCTATTTTTCTGGCATTAGTAAAAAACAAATCCACAACAGCTAATTAAACTCTCAACCACATTGTGCATTATTGCAGTGCAGTGTTAAGCACCTTCTTTTAGTGGTAGGGTTTCATCATCATCATCCTCCCACTTCGTAGAAGACACTGTTATTATGGACTGCTGTGCCAGGTTCTGTTTTGTGTCTGGATGTTCAGAGCATATGGGTGCAAAATGCTGGTCTTGACGTTTGGAACTTCAACTTCAAGGGAGAAAACGCTGCATTGCTTCTAATGTATCACACAAAATTTTGTAATCCATTGATTTAAAATCTTTGGCAGTTTCAGAATGAACAGAACTCAGAAGTGAGATAAAATGTGTATCTTTGGAAAAGCTTCCCATAAATCCTGACCAATACTTAGTCATTAAGCTGTTAACTATTAAATAACTACCCTGTTTATTTAGTATAATCTGATCTTTTTAATATTTGGTTATTGGCGAGAGGATGTGGACTGGTCTAATTTACAACTTTATTTTTTCTTAGAGTGCAGTCTAGCTCTTGCTAAATTCTAGTCATCAGTAACTATATTCATAGGAATAGCTAATTTCATAGTGAATGTAAATTTGCATTGGCTATGAAAACCTATCGCAACAGGAATGTCATGTAGCCTGGTGATTTTACTGGAATTCAGACCACATAGTTGTTTATATACAAAACCATCACCTGCTTCTTGTACTTTGAAACTATTTATTTTGCTCACCAGCTCCGATTTAATATTTATATATAATTTACTCATACAGTCAGCCTTAACTACATGCCTTGCTTCTCAGAGGTGAATTTGTAGCAGGACATTCAAGGCATTAGTGCACCTCTATGCCTTTTTGTACCTTAATAAGAAATGCAGTGCAGACACAACACAAGCAACCAAGGCAATGTATCATGGGAGGTTCTGTGTGCATTGAATCAGTCAAACAAATCTCCAGCTGTCTGAAAGACTCTCTTGGCAGGCTGGAATTTTGTTGCGTTTCATATCCCAGAGAATCAATATACAGTAAATGCACTTGGAATAGGGAGAAATTGTTAGCAGTGCATGCTCAACTTGAAACCCAAGTGCCTCTTCAAAAACACAGATTTTCAAACCTCTGTGGGTTTATTTGAAATTGGTAATCAATTCTAACCTCCCCTTTGTTTATCCATTCTCTAACATTCCTCTTAATGCAGAACAGTCCTCTTTTAGACAGAGTAATACTTGTACATTTATCCCACCAATACATGCACTCCAATGTTCTATAATTGTATATATGTGTAAAATATAACACCAATATACCCACTGTGTATAATCACTAATTGTGACCCTTTCAGGAGCACTTGAAAGCATCAGAGCACATAGACGCTAACACACCGGAGATTTAAAGATATTCCATAACAATTTAGACTTTTGATTGTACAGCGGCCTAAGCCATGTAGTAATAATGCAATTTTCAGCTTCTAAATTATGAGAAATGTTGATTTTAAGAAAAAAGCTTTTGTGTGGCGCTGTGTATTTAATCATTATTACATTACATTACTACATGCAAGAATCTGTATTTCTTATATTTGCTATAAAACTCATGTTTTTGACATTTGTAACCTGGGACTTTCCTTTCTCACTTGTTGTTAAATGGCCTTTTACGTTTCTTAGAGTAAGTCACAAGGCAGTCAGTCTATGGTTTTGCAGTAGCTTAAAGTATTTTTAAGGGTGGTCATCCATTGGAGAGATTACAATTTTCTTTTTTCCAACAAATTAATAGCTTATTTTCTGAATAGAAGGCAAGGATGAGTGTGGGTGTTGGATAATTCTGCTCTGTTTGCTTGGCTCTTTGTGTCTGTGTGAATGTGGTGGACCACTTAGTACTACAATGAGTATAGCTGTGGGTTCTTCAGAAATCAGTATTTCTGTTTATGGGTGCTTCCTTGGGATGAACTGTTAATCGAATAAAAATAAAATGTGTTGTAAATGACTTGGTCTTGGTCTGTACAATTTTAATTGGACGTAAATTCTTATAGAAAACTCAGAGGTTAGTACTTTCACTCGCATCGTATTGTATTAAAAGAACCAGACATCTAGGAAGCCCCATTCATGTTAAAAATCATTCAACAAAAACATTAGTCTTCAACAAGACAGAAATCTATTTTAATTGATCACGTGAACCCCTTCCGTCATTGCTAGTATAACTGTGTATGACTGCACTGTGCTAGTATAACTCTGTATAACAAAATGGCCAAGAAAAGTCTGGAAAAGCTCATGCAGTCCATCCCCTTGTTTTGATAGATCTGCTGATACATGAACAGTATATTAATCCAAGCATTTAGATACATTAACTGACTCATTATTTTCACCAAAGCATCAATTACCAATGCTGAACCTTTTATGAATGCGAGATGTTTAATCCATCTATTTTATGACAGGGTACAAAAGATTTTAATTTACACCTTTGATTCATCCTGGGCCTTTCTCTCATTTCTATTGGTTTGAAATGAAACCACAGGAAACAAGCCCTATGCAATTTTCAGCGGGACAATTTCTAATTTAAAGTATCAGCCAGTCCTAAAGCTGTGCGAAGCCTTTTACTAGTACCAGTCCACCGGTCACACCCCACATAATTCCCCCAGGTACTGATCTTTAATCCTGATATCATCTGCGATTGTAATTGTGCAATTCCAAATGAAATTTTATTTGTGATTATATTACGTATTTCGTAAGCTGAATCAGCAGCAGTCCAGTTTCATTTTTTTCCAAACCCATTTGAAGAATCTTGTCATCCGATGAATGTACAAATTCTGCAGTATTTAATATTAATTTAACAGTTGTTATTTATTTAATATTATTATTAGCATTACAATAAATTTCATCCATCCATTTTCTAACCACCTTATCAAAAACAGAATCCTATCCCGACAATCAGCAGGCCCAAGGCATGATAATACCATGAATGGGATGCCAGTCCATCACAGGGCACACACGGACTGAGACACACACACTCATACCCTACCAGTATGTCTTTGGACTGTGTGGGGGGTGACCCATGTGAACGCAGGAAGAACACACAAACTTCAGGCACCCCAGGAATTGAATCTGGGGCTAACCACTGTTTCACTGTGCCACCCCAAAATAAATCAATAACAACTAATACCATAATCAGAGACTTGAGTCTCAGAGTGAATTACAGCTTAATTCAGTAACCTGTGAATTCGTTATTATGAGCTCTGTGTAAGAGCACATCTCAACAGGATTAATCCTTCCTGGTTTCCTTGTGTTTTATTTTCAGATTGAGCTCCAATTATGTCATCTCATTCTCATCTCTATCCATGTGTGAGACCCCAGTCTAGATTGTCCACAGTGCCAAACTTCAAGATGAAATCAAGCCTTCCCGAGTTAAAGATATGGAGAACTTTCTGTCTGTTGAGTGCAGGAAATGTCATTAAAATGTTATTGCTTAAATTTGCTGTAAAAGCTTACAATCAATCAAATTCTAATTTGTTGTGTGAATTTATTATGTATAGAGAAACAAACATAGTTATTAATCCCTGTTTTGAAGTGCCTTTCTGTTGCATTTTTTTTGTGAGTGACTTAAAATACCATCCATTCTTTATCAGAAATGATCTTGTCCTGGGGAGGGTCACAGCAATTTAGAGCCTATCCTGGAAGCACCAGGCACGAGGTGGGACTTAGTGCTCATGGCAGCTCTATCCCCGAAGGGGGCGCCAGTCCATTGCATGGTCACAGAGACAGGAGAAATTTAGAACAGCCAATCAATACTAACCAGCATGTCTTTGGGTAGGGTGGGGGCAGGGCACCTGGAGAAATTCCCATGTGAATATGGGGCAAACATGCAAACTCCACACAGAAGACACAGAAAACCATGTGAGCTGGGTAGCAGCATTGTTAACCACTCTGTCACTCTGCTGCCCTTACAAAGCCAATCATGCAAAATACAAACACTTTTTGTGGACCATTTTAAAATAAACTGAATTTTACTCACATTCCAAATTTTATTTATTGAAATAATTCGATGAGTACTGTGATCTTTCATAACCATTAGGAGTGTTACTGATTAAAGTGTTACTGAAAATTACTCCAAACAGAAACAAAATAAAAGATCTTTCCTATTACCCTCTTTCTACTGGGTGATAAGTGCATTGAATTTTGCTTTTGCCAGGAAATTATCCCTGTACTCCATAGTGACATGTCTTTAACATCTTCTATTCCCAAGGGCTGTAATACTCGAAATCATTGGATGATGTACCATTATCTTTTTACAAGTGTTTTTTTGTACAAATGCTGACAAATATGAAATGAGGAATTGCATTATGGGATAATTTTGTAAGAAGCAAGACAATCTGACTATCAAATGTAACTAGGGCTTCAAGTTTTTTTTTTGCTGTTGTATCAATAAGTCTATTTTATTTGCCCTTGCAAGAGGGCTCAATAAACACTTAGAGCACTTGTCATAAAAAGGATTTCTGTGCTATGTATCCTTGTCAGAACATGGTTTTTAAATGCTGAAGAATAAATTCAGTCACAGGCTTTGTAATGTGAAGATCTCTTGAAAAGAGAGCAATGTGAAAGAAAGTTCAACACAAATAATCCATGTCCTGTAAACTAGATGTTAGAGTGTGAGACAGTGTTGTGTCTATGTATTTCCTGATTCAGATAAATTCATGTGTAGCCTTTTCCTTTAATGGACTAGAAAGATATTTTAATCTTGTTTTTATTACAGAAAAACTGAAAGTTGCATCCAATCACACTATGCCCACATAAAACATTTAACATTTAAATAAATTAAAAATGTATTGGAAATTAATTCAATATTTCTTTTTTTGTTTCTTGTAGGGTTAACTTTTTCTTCGTCTCCAAACACCAGCTCTCTGGACACCGAAAATGGACACACTAATATTTCTTTGCGGAAGATAGATAATTACACTTATTCATCTTATTACCAGCATTCTCCTCCTGTAGCAACCATATTCATTTTTGCCTATGTCCTCATTTTCTTTCTGTGCATGACGGGCAACAGTCTTGTTTGTTTCATTGTGTTAAAGAGCAAACAGATGAGAACAGTCACTAACATTTTTATCCTGAACCTAGCCATCAGCGATCTGCTGGTGGGAATATTCTGTGTGCCGACTACCCTTGTGGACAACTTGATAACAGGTAGGAATGGCATCAGAGACCTATCCATACTGTATATGCAAACTGTTTCAACAATTGAATAAGACAATGAGAAAATAAGCAAGGTTTCAACTGAGAGGTGGCTATTCAGTCTAAATTGCCTATTTGGTTTGCAATGGACTTATTGCTCATCAGTCACCTAGATTTTTTTATTATTGTAATAAAATTGAATCATACAGCACAAAATAACTGATCCAATCTGTACACCCAAAATTAAACTCTTTTCACCCTTTAAACCCATCCCCCATCACACACAGTTCCAACCCTCAAATCTCCCCTTCTAGACTCCTAAAGGACCTCATCAAAGCCATCGGTGACCAGTGGTAAAAATGTAGTGTTACACAGTCATAAGTACATTAGCAACATCATTCCATCCATCCAGATGTTTCTTGTGGACTCACGGGATTAGCCTTCAATAATAAGGCTAAGTAACAGCCAAATGTCTTTGTGTAAAGTGGACTAAATGCACGCATCCTCATATGTTCGACTTGTCCCTGAGTACTTTATCAAGACTAATTAGATTCAGTTCCTTTAACCAGTCTGTATGCAACATTCCTTTGGGGCATTCCTTGTCATTCTTTTTTTAATGAATCAAGTGCAGCCATGTTTTTGTAATAATAATAATAATAAATTGCTTACACTTATATAGCGCTTTTCTGGACAGTCCACTCAAAGCGCTTTACAGGTAATGGGGACTCCCCTTCTCCACCACCACCAATATTCAGCCCCACCTGGATGATGCAACGGCAGCCATACTGCACCAGTACGCTCATCAGCTATCAGTGGGGAGGAGAGCAGAGTGATGAAGCCAGTTCATAGATGGGGATTATTAGGAGACCATGATTGATAAAGCCAATGGGAAATTTGACCAGGACACCAGGGTTACACCCCTACTCTTTTTGAGAAACACCCTGGGATTTTTAATGACCACAGAAAGTCAGGACCTCGGTTTTACGTCTCATCTGAAGGACAGTGCCTTTTTACAGTATAGTGTCCCCCTTCATTATACTGGGGCATTAGGACCCACACAGACCACAGGGTGAGTGCCCCCTGCTGGCCCCACTAACACCATAATATAATAATAATAACAACAACAAAATTTCTACTGATTTAAATTGATACCAATTTGATGTTTTAAATGTTTTTCCATAAAATCTTGCTCAGAATCAGTTTATGTTTCATTTTTATGTTTTGCTTTATTCAGATGAGTATGATACCATTGCATTAATCACTTAAATACATAAATGGTTTAACCTTCTCCCGCCCTGTGATGTCTTCATGTATTGCGGATGGTTTTTAGTGCTGTAAAAATTAAGTGAATTTATACTATAAATCCTATTAAATATTAAGGAGTTTTTTGGTATCTTTGCTTACAGGCCACTTTACAACAGAAGTACAAGTACTATATTGTATTGCATATAGTAATGTATTGCATATAGTAATATGTACGCAGACTTTGCTGTTTTTAAACAATAGCTAAAGTAAGATAAAAGTAAACAAACATACAATGGTAACAAAACGTTTGTTTAATTCTCACTGTAACTGAGAAATTAAAACACAGTACAGCAATGAAAGAAAGTAAAGGTACAGAATCTGCTTAAAACAGTGTTTGCACTTGTTCAATATGCACTGCAGGCGAGTGTGGACAACATGCATGATTCTGTATGCTGGTGCTTACAGAGAGAGTTGGAGCCTTTGTCCCGTAGCCAGTGTCCTGTTAAATACAGTCTTAAAGACAACAATACCAGACACTGCACATCAAGAACTTTAATTTTAACTGACAATAAAGCACTTCAAAATGAATTAATGATAAATCTTATGGTAATTAAGGGTTCATCTCTAAATTAGTGATGACTCAAGGCTGATTTGGCCTGTCTCTGAAGTCCTCCAGGAGTTCAAGGGCTGGAAGCAGACTCCTAAAGCCCTGTGTTTCTATAGTATCACACTCTCATTCTCAATCTGGCTCAAATTCTCACTCTTAAACTCCCATGCACACTCACACTGTCGGTCTTTCTCACTCACACACACTCTCACTCAGACTCTCTTGCTCTCAGTCAGACTCACATTTTCACACTCTCTCACTGTCACTCTCTCTTACACACACTCTCACTCACATTCACACTCTCTCACCTCTCACTCTCTTACACTCTCATTTAGATTCTCTCACTCTCTCATTCAGACTCTCTCTCCCAGTCTCACTCAGATTCTCTCACTCTCTCTCATTCACACTCTCACATTTACACTCACCTCTCCCACTCTCTCCCACTCTCACTCAGATTCTCTCACTCTCATTCACACTCTCACATTCACACTTACTCTCACCTCTCACACTCGCTCACACTCTCAGATTCTCTCACTCTTATTCACACTCTCCTCTCACACTCGCTCACACTCTCAGATTCTCTCACTCTCATTCACACTCTCACATTCACACTCACCTCTCACACTCGCTCACACTCTCAGATTCTCTCACTCTCTCTCATTCACACTCTCACATTCACACACTCTCACCTCTCACACTCTCACACAGATTCTCTCACTCACATTCACACACTCTCACATTCACACACTCTCTCACACTCTCACTCACATTCACACACTCTCTCACACTCTCAGATTCTCTCACTCTCTCTCATTCACACTCTCACTCACATTCACACACTCTCGCCTCTCACACTCTCTTACACTCACTCAGATTCTCTCACTCTCTCATTCACACTCTCACATTCACACACTCTCTCCCACTCTCACTCACATTCACACTCTCACTCACATTCACACACTCTCACCTCTCACACTCTCTCCCACTCTCATTCAGGTTCTCTCACTCTCTCTCATTAACACTGTCACTCACATTCACACTTACTCTCACACTCTCTCACACTCTCACTCAGATTCTCTCACTCTCTCATTCACACTCTCACATTCACACTTACTCTCACACTCTCTCCCACTCTCACTCAGATTCTCTCACTCTCTCATTCACACTCACTTCAATCTGACTCTCATTCTCACTCTTACAGTCTCACACACTCATATACATTCACACGGTCTCTCTCACTCTGTAAATGATTTCTCATTGAAGTTTTTTGTTTACTTTGCTGTAAAAGAAAGCATACCCAGGTTCTAGTGAACATTTAATTTTAAAATCTCAAATTTTGTTGAAATTTAAAGCTCAAAGGAAAAACAAACTGTTAGTTGATTTAGTGGTATAGATAATATGGAATTATAGAAATTAAGTTCTATAAGGTTCATTTTAACTCTTGCCTATATTTGTCTTACCAAACAGTATTTAGATTATGCTCTTTGATGTGGAAAATCACATTACCAAAGAAAAAATGCAGTATATTCAATTCTTGAAACCTTGAGTTAGAAAAGGATCATTTTAATTAATTCATTGATGTTCTTTTATAATGGAATTTAATTATTTTGTGTGATTGAGCTGAAAAAGGACTTGGCAAACAAAGAGGGTTAACTTAAGTGACAACATTGTAATTAGTTATTTTGGGAACCAGACTACAAATGCACATATACAGTATTTTAGAATTAATGAATTTGTTGTGGAAGGGAATTTCAATTATAACTGATCTTTTGGAAACAACATATTAGACTGCTCTCTGTTTGAAAGAAGTCTATTCAGCCATCACTTGCTTTCAATAACAGTGCAGGTTTAAGAAGGAGAATCTCAAGATTGCCAGTTAACAATGCAAAAATAAACTGGATTTTATTCTTCAATTGCTGTCCAGTCACAGGGATACAATGGCAGGGGTTTGAAAATTGATTTATCCTGGAGATCTCTTTTCAAAGCTGACATATAATCAGTGTACAGAATCACCTCAAGAAGAACATAATCTTTTGCTTAAACTGGAGACACATATGCAATGAAAATCAAATAATGTATGTGATCAGGTGCCACATCACCCTGCAACTCACAACTGGGAACTCACTGAAGCTCAGCAGGTGTGAGCCTGGGTAGTACCTGGATGGGACACCTCCTGGGGAAAACTAAGGTTGCTGCTGGAAGAGGTGTTAGAGGGGCCAGCAGGGGGCGCTCACCCTGTGGCCCATGTGGGTCCTAATGCCCCATTATAGTGACGGGAACACTTAACTGTAAAAAGGCGCCGTCCTTCAGATGAGATGTAAAACCGAGGTCCTGACTCTCTGTGGTCATTAAAAATCCCAGGGCGTTTCTCGAAAAGAGTAGGGGTGTAACCCTGGTGTCCTGGCCAAATTTCCCATTGGCCCTTACCAATCATGGCCTCCTAATAATCCCCATCTACGAACTGGCTTTGTTACTCTGCTCTCCTCCCCACTGATAGCTGGTGTGTGGTGAGCGTTCTGGCACACTATGGCTGCCGTCACATCATCCAGGTGAATTGGTGGTTGTGGAGGGGAGTCCCCATTACCTGTAAAGCACTTTGAGTGGAGTGTCCAGAAAAAGCGCTATATAAGTGTAAGCTATTATTATTATTATTATTATTATTATTATTATTATTATTATTATTATTAAATACAGACAGGACAGACATGACTCTGACATAGACATTGTAGACAGGAACACATAATGCAAAGTGCAGATAGTGCAAATTACAAGGTAAATACATAATACAATATAAACAACACATTGGGGGGATTTAAACCCTGTTTCCGGAATTGGAGTGGGTCCAGGTAGATTTGCAGGGTGTTGAGAAGCCTGACAGCCTGCAGGAAGAAGCTGTTCGAGAGTCTGGGGGAGCTAGCCTGTACACTGCGATATCCTTTCCCAGATGGTAGGAGGGCAAAGAGTTTATGGGAGGGGAGGGAGGGGTCATCTACTATACTGGAGGCCCTGTGTCTGTAGCGTTTGTGATAGGTGACAGAAATGGAAGGTAGGGAGGCTCCAATGATCTTTTCAGCTGTTTCCACAATTCGTTGCAGGGTCTTGCGGTCTGAAGCGTTGCAATTATCAAACCAAACAGTGATGCAGCTGGTCAAGGTGCTCTCGATGGTGCTTCTGTAGAAGGTGGTAAGAATGGCAAGGAGAAGGTTTGCCCTCCTCTGTCGCCACAGGAAATAGAGACGCTGCCGTGCTTTCTTGGCTAGGGAGTTGGTATTGAGGGACCAAGTGAGGTCGCCTGTAATGTGCACACCAAGAAACTTGATGCTTCTAACTGTCTCCACAGGGGAGCTGTTGATGTACAGTGGGGAGTGATCAGCGTGGGCCCTCCTGAAGTCAATGATTATCTTTTGTTGTGTTAACATTAAGAGATAGGTTGTTGTTTGTGCACCAGTCCAGTAGTTGCGCCACCTGCTCTCTGTATGGTGACTCATTGTCGTGTCATCGGCAGACTTGATGATGCAGTTGGAACTGTGCTTGGCAGTACCGCCATGAGTCATCAAGGTGAACAGCACTGGGCTGAGCGGTGCTCAAAGCTGGCTAGGCTACACCTCTGTAGTTTTACTGAGCAGAATCTGCTTCGTCCTTTCCCCAGGCTGGCCGTTCAACAACACCGTCTGCAAAATGAGTGGCCTGGTGCAGGGAGCATCAGTGTCCGCTTCGGTCTTCACACTGGTGGCCATTGCGGTGGAACGGTAAATGTCTGCTCCCTTCCTCACCCCAGTAAAACCCTTTACCACTTACAGAGATTGATGCCACCATCAAATCACCCCTTCAGGTCGGGTTAACTAATTCAGTGGGAAGTACAGCAAAGTAGAAATGCTCAAATGCAGGAAATGATGATGTAAGTATGAATTCCTTTGCCAGTGATTCCAGTGAACTATAGGACGGTGTAGGAAAGATCAACTTCTAGCAACTTCTGTTCAATCTCTCCTTGCGCGCTTACGGAAAAAGCATTTATTTGCGGACAACCACCGCTGTATGTATTGTTGTGCATTTGATAAATAAACCTTGATTGATTGATTGATTGATTGAAAATGTCCTCTTATTCCTCTCACCTGTGATATGTGGAAAGACACTGAAAATGAAATGGAGAAGCAGACTAAGGAACTGGTAACCAGATAAATATCTGTTTTAGGAGTATGCAGGGATCATATTTATATATAGCGGATTGATTTAAATATAGAGGAATAAATGCCCTCCAAACAACAGATAAAACTGAATGAAATAGTGCTGCTGAACATCAAGCCCACCTGGCTTCTTTGGTTTTCAGTAGGTAACTGATCCCAGGATCTCATCCAGCTGTCCTGTGAAAGAAGCCAGAGGATTGGCTAAAACAATATGGCAGAGTCATTTGTTTCAGTCTCCTGTAACCCTTTGTGTAAAAAAGGTGTTTGGTTGCTTTTCTCTGGACTGACTACAGAGCAGCAACATGTATGTTTTTGTATCACAGCGATAGGCACGGTACAAAGTTGTAAATGAGTTGCATAGATGTTTGCAAAGTTTGAAATTATGGAAAGTGTGGAGAAAACCACTGAAACATTAAAGGATTAAGGTGAAGGATTAAGATGAACAAGGTAGGTTAAAGGCTGCTAATTTGATGGATTTTGTATTGCAGACACATATCCTCTTCGGTGCATAATGAGATGGTGATTAACAACATCTGAATCAATGGAGGAGTCTTCAAAGAGTTTGGGAATCACCTTGAGATAATGCGTCTGCCATACAAAGTTTCAATGAACAAACAGAAGACCATCTAGTATTCTGTGTGATCTGCTTTTCTCTCTGGGGACTCAAACTCCAGAAAGGGAAAATTAAGGCATCTTTGAACATTGATTTGTATAAGAGGGCATAATAACTTTTAATGTGAAACAATCATCTCGTATTAATCATACTTTTCTTTAAAAGTTCTGTATGAAGACTTTTATAAACTGTGCTGCAAGAATATTTTACGTATTCCAGGCTGTTTGCATTAAAAGTATTTGGATTTCAATTTAGTATTAAATTCTATTATACTTTGAACTTGAATGCAAAGTATTCAAATGATAGACACAACATAAGATTAAGCAAAACAGAACGAACAATGGGAGAAAATTAAGAATGCTACTGGACTGCACATTCTGATGTATGATTACTTAAATGCCTTGAAGAAAACAAAAGAGCTGCTTTTCAGCACAATGAAGTGGAAGTGCCCTGTAAGTCTTTTGTGTACTCAAGTGTATTCATCTCTTTTATTTTCTCTCTTGTAGTTTTCGTTGTATTGTCTACCCTTTCCGTCAGAAACTCACATTGAAGAAAGCCATCCTCACCATTGCAGTCATCTGGGTTCTGGCTGTGATCATAATGTGCCCCTCCGCTGTCACCCTCACCGTCTCCAGAGATGAGTACCACTTCATGGTGGATAACTACAACCACACCTATCCCCTGTACACCTGCTGGGAGGCCTGGCCAGACCAGGGCATGCGCAAGATCTACACCACCGTCCTCTTCTCCCACATCTACCTGGCCCCGCTCACCTTGATCGTCATCATGTACGCCCGGATCGCCGTCAAGCTCTTCAAGTCCCCAGCCCCCGTCCGGGATGCCCACTCCGAAGACGGCGACGGGCGCAGGGTCTCCAAAAAGAAGATCAGGGTCGTCAACATGCTTGTGATCGTGGCCCTGCTTTTCACGGTGTCCTGGCTGCCCCTCTGGACTCTGATGCTGCTGACTGACTATGGCAACCTGACCGCTCGCCAGCTCAACGTGGTGACCGTGTACATATTCCCCTTCGCGCACTGGCTTGCCTTCTTCAACAGCAGCGTGAACCCCATCATCTACGGCTACTTCAACGAAAACTTCAAGAGGGGATTTCAGGCTGCCGTCAAGTTCCAGCTCTGCTTTCTGGAATCGGAGCACCGGGAGACGTATAAAAGACGAGCCAGTGGCAGGGAGCATAACCGAATCTTTGTTGAGGTTCAGCCCAACAACTCTGACAGCCGGAAGAGGTGGAGGGGGGTGGGGCTATTTGGTCGAAAGATTAGCAGGGTGACCCATCATGGGCTTGTGGTGGAGAATCTGGATCAGGGTTCCTCAAATAATGGTTGCAGTGTTTCTGCATGGGGAATGTAGGAGTCCTCAACTGACTGTTTTCTGTTAGACCACCACAGTCTTATCTAAAATATGTCAAGAAATGGAGGCGTTGAAACGTTTCCAGTTCCATGTGGTGTCGCTCAAGGCCTAAATCACCCTCTTGTCGTGTCAAATGCAGATCCAAACAAAAATGGGCGTGTGTTTCCCGATTTGGTAGTTAAACAGCATTACCTGCCCTGCCAGCTCAGGTGTTGAGTGGGGAAAAATAAACACAATTTCTTTGTTAAAAAGACATGGCAACAGGAGCCAAAAAACAGCTCTCTGACCACGGTTAATAAGCGACTTCTGTGCTTGCTCTCCCATGCATTAATTTTCTTAGCAGATGCTCCTGTCCAGGGTTGTGTTAAATGTACAGAATTAACATTAAATGCAATGGAAATAGTGATTGTGCTGGCACACACTGGAAGAGTAATGCTACGCTAGGGCCACCCGAGGAAGAGCAACCATAACCTTCAGAAGGGGAGGGGCTGCCAGGGGATATCCTGATCTCAGGAGGAACAAGAAGATCAGGAATTAGACTGAGGAGCAAAAGCAGAGATGATGTCAGTTTTGCTAGAAGCTGATTGGCAGGTCCTGCAATGATCCAGGGCCCAGAAATGGGAGAAGACAGGGGAAGAGGAAAGGAAAACAGGTTTAGGGGGGACTCAGTCAGCAGGGGAGGTGACTTCCAGAAGAGGATAGGGAGACAGAGGGGATTTGACTTGCCCTGTGGCAGTAACAGTTGTGACTATGTGGCCTGACCTGTCTGTAGACTCTTCTTTCACCATGACTGTGTCAGCCAATCGCAACAGAAATTTGTGCTTGAGAATCCTCAAGTCAGTGCTCAGTATAACACCATGACAGTCTAACCTGTAACCCTCACCTATGTGCGCAAACTTCACAGCAGCACTCTTTAATTTTCCAGGTTGAAAATTCTGTGTATAAAGAAATATACTGTTTCCTTTTACCCACCAATTTTAAAGTTCAAATTGTCCAGTTGTCCAAGGTCCAATATGTAACTTGTGAGAGATTTTCCAATTGTTTGCTGATTTTTGCTTGTCCCTGATAGAAAACTTCAGTCAAGCCTGAATCAATCTTCTACTGAGTGACAGGTGGGCACAGGTGACAGATCTCATTTTAGCTACCAATGCTTCCAGGTATGCAACACAAACAGTAGTAAAATATGAAAAACACCAGCCTTATTTTTTATATCAAAGACTGTGGAGGCTGTGGGTTGTAAAGGGGTTTCTTGTCCCAGTGAGGGAAATATTATTAGCTGTCTGTTAATATGAAGGAGTGTTATTAAATGTCAGCTGCGTGAAATGTCAGAAAATGTGAGATATTGCTTGATTTCCATGAATTACTCCTTAAAATACTCATCCATCCATTTTCTTCTCAGTTTTCTTCAATATAGTGTTGGTGGGGGGGGGGTAGCCAGAGCCTATACCAGCAAGCAGTGGGTGCAAAGCAGGATACAACCTGGAAGGGATGCCAGTCTATAACAGGGCAGACACAGACACAAACACGCACACACAGTGCAGAACTTTTCAAAGTAAGACTACAGTATGTAACTTACTAGACCGGTCACACTGACCAGGGTCAGTTTTCCCAGAAGCCTCATGCCTAAACTAATGAGAAATTGATGCAGAGTTCATCCTTCTGAAGTTCTCTGTTGAATTTTACTATGTAGTTGAAAAGGGCTCTTAGAATGTAAGCTAAAGATCTTTGTTCTGTTTTCATTGACGTTCTGTATATAATTCCATATATTATGCTGTTGACAATCTTGTTATTATATTTTAATTTATGCATCTGTGTAGACTTTGTTTTGCTTTCGTTTGGGAGTTTTCAAGGCACCTAAGAATTTGTATAGTTGTATAATGTGTATCTACCAGATGCCGTTTCTGTGATTTTATTATTGTTAAAGAGTTTCTTTTAAAACAAATTCACCAAATTATTGTAAATTAATTGTAAATTGTTCATTCTAAATTATTGTAATGTATTCTGTTGTTCACAAGGCTTACACATCTTAGGCACAACCGTAAGTAACGGCATATTTATTAGCATCAACAGTTTACTCAAAGACACCACTCATGTTTTCTATTATTATAACACCTTTGGCTGTTATTTAAACAGCATAGTTTAGGTGAGAACAGGCCAAGCCTGTCATTTAATATATTTCATTCACATTGATCAAAATCTTCTGAAACCTGATCCTAAGCCAACAAGATCAAGTATACACATACAAATAGTATGAAGTGTTTAGGTAGCTAATCCATTTTAATTTAATTAACATGATCTGGAATGAGCTGTTCATCAGCATTAACATAATGTTCTTCTCTACACATCTATAAAGCTATAAAGCTTGTAATTTCGCACTACAAAAATGTAGATTAGGATTAACTGCTACAATTCCTAAAATTTCCAAATATGATCACCATAGAACTGTTTCTGCATAAAGAATGAAAATGTTGTACAAACAGAGCAGAACATTTCAAAATAAGACAATGTACATTACTGAATCAATCTTTCCTAGGAGTCACCACTAAACGTGTAATTTTGTTTTTCTATAAAATCATTGCTGATCCCATTACTAAAGAAAGATCTGTTTATCATATCACGCTGTATTTGTTTATTTCTATTATCTACAGAAGGAATTAAAGACTGCAAACTATATGTTAATAACTTGATTGCTTTTGTTGGATATTGTCCAAAAGCTTGAGACGTGTGAGTCCTGTATTTCTAAAGAGAAGAGCAGTGTAAATCAATGAATTATGTTGCTAAATTTCTGTGTTTTGTAAACAATGTACTTTGTTTCAATGGACATGCACAGTAAAACCTAGAATACTTTGTGTGATTGGTGGTGTTTTGTTTCTTTATTAAGGAATCCGTAGTTCGACTCCTAGTTAGGACCAATAACTACACAATGATGAGAAAGCAACACTTTTAAGAAGGACCGTGGCATCACAAGGGGAAAAGGTCAGAGTTTGGGCATGACTCTTAATCCTGGTCTTAATTGGTTTATTGCTAACACCCGGGAGCCCATCTGTGTGCCTGCAGCACAGACTGTAAACAACAGCAACACGATCTATTATTATCTGTCACCTGAGACACATGAGGACGTCAGTGCTAAGGTGTGCATAGACTCGGACCAAACGGGAGACGTGGGTCCTAAGGCTGTGATTTCTCTAACTGATGTTTCTTAGTATTATTTCGTAGTCACCGTCAAGTTTGAGTCCATGGCTTTTCTGAAAATGCTCACAGTAGTAAGCTTATTGTTATGCGTGTTAATTTTTGTGGGAAAGCACTGCAGAATAGCAAATAAGTGTGATTTGTTTGGAAACACTTGTGTAAAACTGGATTCTAATAAAAGCTGTAGTGTGGATACAGTTATATTAAAATAAAAATAAGACAATGAAATAAATGCAAAATAGATGCATTTAGATTAACATGCGTTCTCTTTTTTCTTATTTGTGTTTATGTTGGTCCTTGGTTGTCTGTAATCAATTTCTCTGAGCCTATAGTCTATGCTGGACCTAAATACGTGCCCAGAAGTTTTCGTACCCACTAACCAGTCCGGATTTGCAATAATGAATTTAAAAAAAGAATTATCTTCATAAAGTAAGTCGCAAGTCCCGCAGTATAAGATCAATGCTTGGGATATATTTCGACTTCAAACGCATTGAACAGATGGTCACCTCAGAGGATACAATGGTTGTAACTATCTTGCTCGTCCACTTGTAAATAACTCGAATTATGTTCAGAAACAGCAGCACGTTGTGACGTGGCAACACCGTAGATTGCGGCTCGATTTTACTGCGCATGCGTGGTGCACATGCTTTCTGTGTGCTCTTTCTGCAATCTGCCCGGCACAACTTCCAAGTCGCGGTATATTAGCTGTCATTATAAGGAAATCACAAACTTTTAACTTATTTATTGAATAATCATGAGCTTCACCATCGAGGAGAGAGGAAATCCCAACACCCTGAGTTATAGGGTGTTTCTAAGTAAGTAAAGCTTTTAAAATAATAAGAGATATCCTACTGAGTGCTGAGTTTGAGTGGTGTGTAGGCTGCTCAGCTAAGTCATTCATTACTGAGCAGGCCTGCGTTCCCCTCATGCACTTCGTTTAATCTTTGTTCAGTATGAAACATTTGTATTAGACGTGCCGAGAAATGAGCTACACTTGTAATTCACCGACGTTTGTTGTGCAGAGAGGACCGTCGGTGGTTTAAGATACCTATCCTACCCGCTTGTGCGAGTTCGTTTTTGTAATTAAGAGGTTTTATTACAGTTTCGTATTCGTATATGAGCCTGTTTTTTTGTTTTACTTTCAATTTCGTGTGCGCACTACCAAACATCCTCACACTTTTCTTAGTTCTGATTCCAAGTCTGTATAACGCCATTAATCGGAACAGTTGTACAAAAGGTCACCTTATTCATGAAGAGCGCAATAAATATGTTCTCTTTATGTTCTCCAAATGCGGTCAATTGTTTTGTAAAATGAACATTTTTTCTTAACTCGTAATAATGACGTTTTATGCTGAACGATTTAGAAATTAGAATGTTGAGCTGGGTGGCATGGGTTCTCCCCAGCTCTGGAATCCTGGGTTGGATTCTGTTTTAACTACCTCCTGTGTGGAGTTTGTCTGTTCTGCCAGTGGTGGTGTGGTTTTTCTCTGGCACATGCACATACGTAGGTGTTTGGCTGTGCTAAATTGCATCTTACCAGGGAACGTCATACAACTTCTTATTGTAATTAAATTGTAATTTTTAACTGTTAAAAGGTAATTTGAAGGGATATTACCAATATAGAATTGTAAAATAGCCTGGTGCCTGAGGCAATATGCAATGCATTTCAGATGTTCTTACCACAGAGTTCTGTTTAAGTGTTAAATGCCCTTTTCAGTTTAATACTGTAATCTTTTAAATGCCACATCCTGAATTAAGTCTTGTAAACCAGGGATTTCAGCTGAAGCTCCTGGTTGTCCCCAGAAACAAAGGGGCCTTAGTCTCCCCCAGTGTAGTTCAATAAACTGGCTCTGTTCACATCTGTTCACTCACAGTTCCACTTTTAGACTTTTACGTTAGTTATCCATCATAAGAAACGTGGCTTTGATTATACAGTATGTTTACTGGCTGGCCTTATTGAGAGGGATTTCTTGGAGAAGTGTTTTCCTTCCACAGACCAATCAACACTCCTTTTTAAACCGTTATTGACATTAATTGAGAATTTTCTCTTAGAAGGTTTGTGATTGTGTGGTGATATTTTGTTTTCCTACAGAAGACTCCAAAGGAAAGTACATTTCTCCATTCCATGATATACCGATTTATGCGAATGAAACTCAGGTAAAGTATCTTGTTACATCTAGTGGTTAATTAATATTTCCTAAGATGCTGTACAACTGGATATAAATGAGAAAAAGCTCGCTTATTGTTAGTATGGGTTTGCACTTGTGTATTTTTGAGATTTAAAATTTGAATTTGCACTGCTTAATATTCAGTTATCTGCTTAGGATTTAGCAGAATATTCAGCTATGAAGCGTTGTTGCAAATGTGTTTTTATATGCTATACATACTCTGTAGCCTTAGACATTGTGTGGAGAGGAAAGGTTGTAGTTTCTGTTTAGCAATCTTAACATTTTATCGTGACAAGTGTTTGTTACTTAATGTCAATGAGTCCAGCTCCAAAGTGGACTTTGCAGTCTTACAGCAGAAGTAAAAAACAAATCAGACAAAACCAATGAGAGACACCTTCTGTTATATCTTGATTTCTTATGGTATAAACAGTAACCTTACGTGACATCCTTAGCCACACATTTCTGATGCAGTGGAATCTTCTTGCTTTAAGTAAGATTCCACTTGTTATTAAAGCTGAAATAACCACATTACTAGCGATGGTTTTATGTAAGAGACACTGAGTGAGTCATACCTATACTTCTAGAGTTCACTAGTCCATACACAAATACTTAGCAAGGTTTTTTTTTTTAAATGTAGATTATGAATACATTCATAGGAACTTTAAATTTGCAGACAGTAACGCTGTCATGCATAAATATGCCCTTTTGCCGGCTGCAGATTTTAAGATGTATTTGAATTAATACATCGAATCATTTAGGCTGTTTAAATTTTTAAAGTTGTTTGGGAAAAAATGGTCAGGCATTTTATTATGCATTGAATTTTATCATTACGTGCTTATTATGTCAAACAAAAGTCTCCAGAAGCATACATTAACAGGTTTTACCATTACGTTTTCAGGATTTTGAGATCTACGGTATTTTTAGGGTGCACGGATTTATTACATTGTACATGTTGAAATAAGTTTAGTCTTTTAAACCATTTGAAAATGTGTAAAAATTCTGTAAAAAAGTAGCGTAGATACTACTTTCACTTTAAAGCTTTGGCACTAAATATCTACAGCAAACTTGATTGGATATTCAATCATGGCTGAACAAACTCATTCTTTTGTGATCGCATGGACTGGGATTTAGCTTTGCTTCAGTTCGGGACTAATTCTGCATTGCATTTTAAATCAATAGGACCTCTGGAGGTATTTGGACATCCTCAACCACTTTTAATAAGAAGCTGTCTCAAACAGTGGACAACTATCAGGATGATATTGGGGATATTGTTCTGAAGGAAACAGTAGCAGACAGGTCTAGATTGAAGTGCAGTCAGTGGCCATAAGGAATGTTTCTGCTGAGTTTGCTACATACTGTAATTGTGTAGGTTTGGAAGCACATCTGTCTTGGACTGATTCATCTTCTCAGGCTCTGAGCTGTAAAGTACCTGCCAGTCAAGCAGCAGAGATGTAAACTCGTCTCTGTCCTTGAGGGGCTGTTTGATCAGACTTCTAAAAAACACAGTTAGGAGTTTCAGTTTCAGATGAAGTCTTTAAGACCAATTTGATATGGCCCCAGGCAAGAACTGTCAGGTTAAAGCAAATTCCCACCAATAAATTCTGCACTGCACAAACAGATGCAAAGTCTCATTTTTTAAATCAAGTAGGTTCAGCCATTGTATCTGAGAAGAAACACTTGCTTGGTTAAGTAAATCGACGTTTTCTTATCTTTCTTCTACCCCAGTGGAAATTCATAGGCCCCATATCTGTTTTTAATTGATGATGAGGATTATGTTAAATGTGGTGTTTATCTGTCTGTCTGAGGTCCCTTCCAGGTGGCCTGTCTGCTTGAGGGTTTGAAAGCTTCTTGAGTGCTGTCTGATGAACCTGTTGCTGCAGTCAAGGAGCTTTTCCCTGTCAGCATGCACACTGTAGAAATACAGCTTTTCACTGAAGATTGCTGTTTAGTCAAAATGAATCAAATCCCACATAAAGGTAGAAATTTCAAGCTGCTAGATGTTTGTAAAAGCAATAGTTTACTTTCCGAGCATGTGCAGCTATTCTGTCAACGGTACAAAAAAAATGAACCAGGTTATCTTGTTAGCTGGGCATGTGTACTGATTTATTAAGTAGAAGCTGAATAGTGGATTTACCAGAAAATGGCAGAATACCCGAGAAACATGACAGATGCCTTCTGTTATTAAGATTTTCTTTCAGAGGCTCAGATGTAACTTTTCTTCCCTTCGGGCAAGGGGTGTTCAGCTCTTATAAAGCATACACATTTGTTATTTCAGTGAAGGCATTTTTCTCTCTCTTTTGGCCTCGTAGAAATGATGCTTTATTTTCTGAAAACATGATGACACTGTCACCATTTTACCCTGTACTTCATTTTATAAAGCAAGAATTATTGTTACTGTAGAACAAGGAAAACAATTTGAGAGCAGCAATGGGGAAATAGATGTTTATTATTTGGTTGCTTTCACTTTGCTGCTCTTGGTTTTTTTTTTTTAGCTTTGAAGGCAAGTGCTTCTCAAGCATTACAGTAATTGAAATTTGCTGTGGAGTACTTCTGTGATTATTAATCTCCTAGCAACCACTAGAGCACTTAAAGCCCCTGATACACTGACCCTTTCCCACCTGTTTGGTATCCATTTTAAAAAAGACACTAATCTGTAAAGAGGATGGTAGTTCCAAAATAGCAATATTTCTTTTAGGGCTAATTTTACCTTAACATTTGGGAGCTTAACAAGGGCTTGTTCTGAAGAAGCCAAAAAATCTTAAGTCTGTAAAGAGAAGTTTCAGATTTGTATGACCAGGCATGATTCTTTTTTTATTTTGGCTTTCATCATATTATCAGTTTTTACTGTTTTAAACTATTACATCAAAGGGTCAAAATGTAATCATGCAGTATGTATTTAAAGGTTTCTATTACAAAATAGGTTTTTAGGAGCTGTTAAAGTTGTGACACAGGGTGTTGAGGTAGTTACTGATTTTAGTATGTAATTTCATCATTTAGAAGGATTACAAAATTAAGAAACAAGGAAAAATGTCAAACTCTTTTAGACAGTAAAATCAGTGTATGAAGGCAGTAAAAACGATAAATGAATACAAATTGCAAGAGTGCACTTGATTGTATATGTGCCTTCACTTCTTTAGAAATAGTAAAATTTATTAGTAAAAAAAAGTAGAATAGCAAATCCAGATTCATAGTGTACATTACAGAAGTTTCTATCAAGAAGAAATATTGTAGCCCTCTTTATCATAGATCTTCATGAATTGGGTTGGAGTTCATCCAGGACTCCATCCATCTATTTTCTAGCTGTTTAATCAATTATAGGGTTGCAGGGAAGATAAACCTATCCTGGCAAGCAGTGGGCACAAGGCAGGGTACACCCTGGATGGGACACCAATCTTTTGCAGGGTGTTGGAGTTAATTTTTGTAATTTTTCTTAATGTCTTAGAATAATTTAACAACCTGTTGCCAAAGCTTTTCTAAATCGTGATGCACTTGGTAACGCCACGTGGCTGTATAACCTAGCTGGCATTTTGAATATGCAATACGAAAATTGGAAAATATGTATTTTGTTTTCTAGGTACAATACAATAGGGAATGTTTAGGAGCAGCTTCCTCAGCCTAGCGTATTTCAGTCGTAATCCTGATTGCAATTCATTTCTTATGTTTGTTATTGATTAAAACAATCCAGACGGTGGATTTTTGGGTGAAATGCAGTGTTCATGTAGACATCAAAGAACCTGGTTTCTTGAAAATATCATGAAACATGACTTACCCGGGTATCCAAGCAACAGAGCTTTTATCTGCTAATAGTAAGTATAGAGGGCTAGGTTTCGTCAGACGGAAGTACTTATTGGGTACAAAAACATGTGTGAGGTTACAAAAGACAGGAGGTTATTTGGCCCATCTAGCCCTTACGGCAGCTCGTAGATAAATGATTCCAAGATCTCATCCAGCTGTTTCTTGAAAGTAGCTAGACGAGTATCGGCTTCAGCAACATGGCAGGGTAGCTTGTGTCTCCTGTTCTCTGTTTTTAATGCAGTTCCACTAAGTTTCCACTTCAGACAACTTTTCAAAGAAAATGTTTTCGTTTAAGTGGGTAAACATGAAGCCCAAGAAATAAAACCTACCTTACCTCAGTTCTATCTGTTGAAGCCTTATCTCTTTATATTAAAATACATTTCTGTGCCTGTAAATCTTTGTTTTGCTTAACACTAACAACTTTTTTAACAGGACAAATTTTGGACTATGTTTTGCTTTTTCTTTGGGTATTTTAAATTTTTCTTTGTTCCATAGGGTGCGTTATGCTTAGCCTGTACAAACAGTAGGCTGCAAAGTTTGGACTTACAATCATTAGCTTCCAATATTATTTTCTAATTCTGTCTTGAATGTCTTGCTTACAAAGCCAAATTTAATCATTCTCATCTTTGTTTAGAACAATCTTTGGGCAGGAGAATGTTACTGTAACTAGAGAGCCCATAATATTTAGTGGTTGCAAGACATTTGTTTGCAAATAGAAGTTGTTGGGCTGTTAAAGTTTTTCATATTCCTGAAATATGTTTGTCTTTGGCTCAGTTACCCAGTGGAGTAATTCCTGTTGTATTTTTTTTTCTTGTCCTCAGAACATCTTCCATATGGTTGTTGAAGTGCCACGATGGACAAATGCAAAGATGGAGGTATATAATTTTATTTTTACCATTTAACATGTTTTTGTGAATGTCAAATACTTAGACAATGTGCTTGTGTTCTTCTGGAAGGATAGATTTGTCCATATAAATCATTTGCCCACAACAACTCACAAATGGTTTAGGTAACTGGAAGATGCCACTGTGTTGTACAAGTCTTGACATTTTTCGTGCAGCATGTTAGCAAAATGTAACACTCCTGAGGGGCTTAAAACCTTTTGTAGGAGAACTGCTTGGTAACTGCTTGGTAGTTAGCAAGCAATGGATCCAAGGATGTCATCCAGCCATTTCTTGGAAGATGTCTGGGTTTTCTTGAAACATGGCTGAATAGCTTATTCTTTAACCCTTTGGGTAAAAAAAGTGCCTCCTGATCTCAGTATTAAATGCGCTTTCTGGCATGTCCTGCTCAGATTTTGCTCCTGGTAGCCAGTAAAAAGGCGGGAACTGTGATGTTTTACCGCTGTGGCAGTGAAAGTATCAAAGCTTGGGCTGATTTAAATCAACAGCATGCTGTTATTGTGATCAGATTCTGATATTGACCCAACCATTGAAGACCGATATGTAGCTGGTTTTCAGAGTCATAACATCATTTTGAAATATAGGAACTTAAACAGCTAGAACAGCTTAAACAGCTAGAAAATAGATGGATGGAGCCCTGGATGAACTCCAACCCAATTCATGAAGATCTATGATAAAGAGGGCTACAATATTTCTTCTTGATAGAAACTTCTGTAATGTACACTATGAATCTGGATTTGCTATTCTACTTTTTTTTACTACTAAATTTTACTATTTCTAAAGAAGTGAAGGCACATATACAATCAAGTGCTTTTCTTTAGGCATTCTCAATTATTCTAACTATGTGGCCTTCCTTTTGTTCTGACTAATCTTGTGAGTCTTCCTAGGGGAACTCGGTAATGTCATTGCAGTACCCTGTGTCTCCACAGACCTCAGCTTTATGGGTGTAGTTGTTGCTTTGAATTGTAATGAAGGTGGTAAGAAAGGGAACCTTCATGTGCTAGAACGGTTCCAGCAGGAAAAGCTTCTGATCTCTTTCCAGCTGGGAGAAGTATAATCCTGCTTGGTGTCGGTTGTGCTGCCCTTTAAAGAGAAATTGGATTTCAAAAGAAAAAGCCTCCTGACATTTTATTCTGATGTTCTGTCTGTTGTTTTATTAAAGGGGCCTGCAGTTATTACGTTCGTTCATTGAGGTTTCAGGAAGAGATTTGAAAGGTTTCTGTGTTGTTCTGACAAGCCATGTAAAATCTGTCCATCATTTCTGAAAGATATCAAATGTCTTTGCCACTGAAGAGCATTGGAAATGTGCTTCAGCAATGCATTACTTTACCCAGACAATTTAGTGGCAACCAGGAACCCCACTGAAGTGCAGAGAAGTGTTTCTCAACCTTTTCCATCCCTCAATGGACTTGCATGAATAGAACAACACAAGCACTTTAATAATTTATTTATTCGTCTTATAAACCAATTTCTTCAAGGCTTAATCTAACTTGGCCTTGAAGCCACCTTATCCCAGTGGAAGGAAGCAGTCTTCAAGTATTTGGATTATTAGGACTTTTGTTTTGAATGTATTTGCTGCTGTCTGTGATATGAACGTCTTACTGTTACCTCATTCTCCTCCAGATTGCCACAAAAGATGCTCTGAACCCCATCAAGCAAGACGTGAAGAAAGGGAAATTGCGTTATGTTGCCAATGTGTTTCCTCATAAAGGCTACATCTGGAACTATGGAGCAATTCCGCAGGCAAGTTGTGATGGCAACAGGCGGACATAATGACTCAGCGGGCTTTTGCAATAAGTAATGCTGGGGAATAGTAACGCATGAGAATGATTGGAATAAAAAGACTGGGTTCAATATAAGAGCTGGGTTTATTATTATTCAGTTATATTTTGAAGTCTTAGGACACATGAACGTGAAGAATGGGAATGAGACAAGCTCATTTGGTACTTGCTCGTTTGGTAGTTTTGTAGCTATACGAGGCATATTTTGTTCAGTCGTTTGGGCCTCAGCTACCTGACTGGAAAGCTATTTCCAGATACGCATAGTATTTGCATAAAGAAGGGTTTCCTAACCACCATGCTTATTAGCTTTTTGTTTGCAACTGTGACCCTGTTACCAAGTTTCATTGCCGACTTTGAAATATTCACCTGGGATGACTATTTACGACAGGCCCCTGATACTAGGTATTATTCTTGTTGCTCTAAGGTTATAATATCCGTTTTGTTTTATGGTTACCAGAATAGATCAATAGGTGCTACTCTTTCCTCTTGACCAGAATTTCCAAAACCAAACCTGTATCGTGACCAGGGATACTGTTAAATAAATACTACTAATGTAACCCGTTTGTATTGTATCTGTCACAAAAATATTTTTTTAAACATTATTATGTTAATAATTGAAAGTGGTAAATGAAAGTTTCCAAAATGTCTTAGGCTTTCAGTTTACATGTTTGTCTTCTTGTAGCTTGTTTTGTGCCTCTCTTGTGTCCATTATTTGTAGTTCGAAGTAAAACAAATCACTGGGATTCTGCCAGGCTTTATTCTTGTGGCTTTAATAAAGTAAACTGCTCAGGACTGAACCAGGGGAAGGTGCAGGTTTGATCTCTGAGCTTCCTAATTACTGAATTGAAAGTACTAGCTGAGCTTTGTAAAGTCTGTAAAATTCCCGTGTCTCTCTGGATGGTGGGGTGGCATGGAACTGCTGTTCCTTTCCTCCTGGCTTTTCTCTCTTTTCCTCTCTCTGTTACCACCTTTTGAGTTTTGTGCCATCAGAGTAAATTCTCCTACTTCTCTTCATTGTTTTTCGCAACTTCCCCTCCCTCCCTCAGTTCACTCATGTTCTCGGTGAACAAATCTTCCTCCTTTCTTCCCTCTCCCTCTACTTCGTGAACATGCAAGGGGTCTTCAGCGTTCACTGCCTCGCCAATCTCAGCTCCTGGGCTGTGTTACGCCCTTTTCAGCTCCCCTCCTGCTCTCACTCTAACCCTTGACTGCTCCTGTTACTACTTCCATCTTCTTCCCTTGTCCAAGTCCACCAAATTCCATTGCTACTTTCCTTCACAGACAGTCCTTGCCGTCTCTCTCCACCTTTGTGTCCTCTGTGGTCACTCACCTTTCCCTCACTGCTTCATTTTCTAAACTTCACGCACACTCTGCTATCTTCTCTGCTCTAACCCTTTCCCTTTCTTCCTAATGTCCACTCGCGTTTCACCCTGCTCACTCCTCTACGTCCTGTTCCTGGGTCTCCTCTGTCCTGTGCTTGGCCAGAACCAAGCTGCTCTTGATTGAGGTGAAATGCAGGATGTATAAATTGCCTTGTTCTCTGTGGCCATCTGCATTTTCCATCCATCATCCAGTCTTTTTCTCAACAATCCTTTTAAGCTCTTCCACACTTTCTCAAGCCTCCGCCTTCTCTTCCCCTTTCCTCTGTCTCAAATGAGGACTTTACTTTCTTCTTCTCCTCCAAAATCTCACTCTCCCCCCTTCAGCTTCCTCTCCCCCCACCTTCTCCTATTTCTCCACTGGCTCTTCCTCCTTCTCCTCCGACGGGCTGTTTTCATCACTGCTCGTCTCTTCACTGCTTTAGTTCTTGCTCTTTCATTGTGTTCGCATAGCATGTGATGTTACGGTGCTCTTCTAGCTTGTGCCTCATTGCTGTTTTATCTTAGTGCATACGCATGAGCATTCTTTGTATTTAAACATAATGTCAATTTTGTGGATTGCCAGTTGCCCAGGATAATGGTGTCTCTTTAGCTAGTGATAAGTGCATGCCTGACAATATTGCTTAACTTTCACAAAAACATTAGCATCTTTGGCTGGTGAGGTCTTGTAAAGTTAGTGTCCCATTAGAACACTTAAAGACACTTTTCCTATTGTTTGCTCGAAGGATTCCACTTATTTAGAAATGTTCCCATGCATATTATACCACATTTTCAGAAGTACGTTTTGTTTTAAGGTCATTGGTTCCAACAAAGAATTTGTGTATGTGATTATTTGTGTTTTGTGTTAGAAAATCACAAAAATGCAAGCTTACATTTCCATCTTCTGTGGAAACAGCCAGCTGTTTTGCTTCTGTAACAGCAGCTATCCCGTTCTATTCATAGTCTTTAATTCTTATCTGTTAAGAATGTTTTTCTTAATGGCACAAACATGCCTTTGATTCGGTTGTTTGAATGTGATTGTTGTACTTCTACTCCGGCAGACTTGGGAGGATCCGGGTCATAAAGACGATGACACAGGGTGTTGCGGTGACAACGATCCCATTGACGTCTGTGAAATAGGCAGCAAGGTATTTCATTACTGGTATCAGCGGTGGAATATTAATGGCAACAGTGATGTCATCATTCCTATCTAGTTAGGTAACAATTCAGAGATATTGTCTGAAATGGATGCACAATAACAGTAATTATTACTGCCACAATTACATTCTTTTAAAAATAAACGTGTACTGTTCCCATGTTCCGGCATGGTCGCGTAGGTCTAATTGCCTTTTATTTTTGCCATCATTTTAGGTGTGTTCCAGAGGAGAGGTCATTAAAGTGAAGGTTTTGGGCACACTGGCATTGATTGATGAAGGAGAAACAGACTGGAAGGTGATTGCAATCAACATTGATGACCCTGAAGCAAAGGAACTTAACGGTATGAGAACTGAGGCTTTGATGATGTGCAACAGCTGCACCACTAAAGCTCTACACGCATGTCAACGTGCATAAGGAAGTGATCTGTCGATTAGAAATGTATGCTTCTGGTATATCACTGTATTTCTTTCAGGAGGCACAGGATTAATAAGATTGTTTTATGTTCCACTTATGCCATTATGATAGCCTGAAAAATGACTTGGCCAGCCATCTACTGCTGCTTTTTTTTTCTTTCTTCAAAACAGTCCGTTTTCTACAGTGTGGTTTCCGTTACTGAGGAAATAAAAAAAAAAATCAGGTGCATAAGGGATTGTGGAGTTCAGAGAAAGAGACCTTTCTGAAACTGTTTTCTCTTCTCAGATATTGATGATGTCAGGAGGCTGAAACCAGGCTACCTGGAGGCGACGGTGGACTGGTTCCGCAAGTACAAAGTCCCAGATGGCAAACCTGAAAACCAGTTTGCATTTAACGGCGAGTTCAAAGATAAGGTACTTGACCTGAGCACAATGTGTTCTGCTCTTTTAAATGACATGAGGAATGAATTCACTTTGTAGAAGCAGTAATGACAAAGATTAGGTTTACTGTTTTTAATAAAAATGTGATGATATGAATCGTTGATTGGAAGAGGCATTAGTGTGTTGTGCTTCAAGGAAATGGATTATATCTGTTTGAGTGGAACATAACTGAAATTACTTTAAGACTGATTAAGAAGACATCATCTGAAATGATTTATTTAAAAGGGGTGTTTTGCTGTTAAAGTTTTAGTTATATACAGTTTTGTATTAACTTGTGGTCAGCATTACTTATAAGATAATGACTTGTTTGCAAAAGCGTCAGAAATCCATGTGGGCTCTCAAATAACTTGTTATACTATGAGTTGCTCTGATGAAACTGCATTACTTTCTCTGCTGGATGTGTTCGATTTCTATGTGGTGTTAATTAGGCAATCAGCAATCAAAGTCCCTTGTCACGCTCTTCTTACTCAGTGCCACAATTCCACTTCGCCATGCAGATTCACAGAATTAATCAATTATGATATAAATCGGTCATCACTGTAGAACTGTGTTAAGTGGGCTGCAAAGCTACAAATTTCAGCCGGGCATTTGGCATGATCAGTATTTGCTCCTGATGGTGGCCTGCTCTTGAAGCAGGGAGCTGATTGGAATCATTCTGTAATTGCAGTAGCCCCGAGGTGCAGCAGATCTAGGCATGTGGATGCTAATGCACATAAGGTTCAAATTTACGTTCCTTTGTTTGCAGGACTTTGCCATCGAGATCATAAAGAGCACCCATGGTTTTTGGAAAGCTCTGGTGTCTAAAAAGACGAGCAGTGGGGAACTGAGCTGGTGAGTTGCTAACATTTTGAAGTGGCCGAATTTTAAGGCCCAGGTTCTGCAAGCCCCGTTTACTAAAACAGATTTTTTTAAGCGAATTAAAAATATATATTTGAACTACATCTGTGCAGCAGTCTAGAAATAGACCAGCTGTGGATACCCAGGTTTGTAAAGAGCAGGTATTCATTCTGAAGTCATACACTGCACATATGAGTAGTTAGTACTTGTAACTAGTTAGTCTTGGTTTCACTTCAGATTGAAGTACGTTATGCATTAAAGATGTAAAAAATGCAGCGGAAAGAAAGCACTTTGCATTGAAATATTTGAAATGTCACTAAGAGAAACTAGGTCACGTAGTACTTATATGACAATAGAAAAACATTGACAGTCAGCCGTCTTCATAAGACGACTCAGTCTGGAAGCTGAAGCTTTGCTGGATTTATACTTTCATTTTAGTACTAACTGGAAGGTGTTAAAGATCTTAAATGGGATTTTTTTCTTTCACTACAGTACAAACACTTGCATCTCGGACAGTCCTTTCTGTTGCTCTGAAGCAGAGGCTCAGGCTGTTATTGATGCAGTAAGTTTTCTGCTTATATGCTGTTATGGTCCACACATTCTGTGTTATTGTAGTGGGTATTTTAAATGGTAATGTAACGCATACGGCTGACATTAGAGGTTGTGCGAGCCGGCTTCCCAGCGCGGTGACGTCACCGCCCTTCCCTGTGGATAGCAGGGACCACAGCTGTCGGGCTGACAGGAGATTTCCCTTTAGCTCAACTGGCTGGGTCTCTGTTGAGTGACGCTGGAGGCCTGGGTTCGAGTCTCCAGCAATGGGGGGGCCAACCTGAGGCGGCAGTGGCGAGGGCGCATACCCACGTGAACCCGAGAGCGTAATGTGATACCACTGCGTGATCTTATTTCATGATGCAGCTCTTGAAAGATCACTTTGGCAAGTTCAGAATGTTTTGTTTATATCTCAATGCTTGTTTTAAAGGTTTTTTTTTTCCATTCTGAACTTTAAGTAGTAAGTATGAAGTGTAAATGTCAGACTGTCTAATGTCACATCTGTTTCCTTGTTGTTGTAGACCTGTCCTTGTGGAAATCCAGAACCTCTTCCATCAACAGGTGTGTACAATTCATTCAACTTTTTGAGGATTTTTTCTATTTTTTGTTAAAGGATATGACTAAAACTGGCCTCTTACTTTGACACAAAATACCCAGTTGTTGTAAAGGGGAACTTTCACACTTTTATGGTCAAACTTCAGATACAATTGTCTTGTTTTTTTGTTAACTTTTCAAAGTAGTTCAGGAAACTTTAAAAAGGCTGATATCTATTCCCAGATTTTTCACAATTGAGAATAAGGAGATGCAGACCCATATGAAATACTGTGGCTATCTGTGAATTGCATTTCTAATGGCCAGGAATCCCTTCCCTCATGCACTAAGTTGGGGGGTTGAAATCTTAATTTAATGCCAGCTGTATTAAATTGTTAATTTTATGATGGAGTGAATCAATCAGATAAAATACTCCAACCATGTGATGATTTACAGCAACAAATGCACTTCAAAATTTGGTTTAAAATACTTTTTTTTTGCAGTGGACAAGTGGCACTATTTGGGATAGCAGTGATCCGAGAGGAATACCTGAAGGGTGGATCAGAGCTCTTTGTCATCTGCCTAGAAACTGTACTTGAATCAGTCTTTAAATATTAGGTTTTATGTATTTAAGCATATCAAAAAAGTAGGCAATGGTGGAAAATAACATAATCTCCCATTAATATCAAAGTTAGGAAGACATGAATGAATCAGTCACAATAAAACTAGCTTGTGTTTTACTTTATTTATGAAAGCCTTTAAGACTTGAACTTTTTTGCTATAGATTTCCAATCATTGTAATTAATCTGTTAAAACCCAGGAGCTGCAGCTGCAAGCACTACAATGTTGCTTTAATAAAACCTTTCCTCTTCGTAAGACATCTGTTTTCTGTGTTCAGACTGTTCTTCTGTATTCATCTGCAGTACTGTTAAAAAATGCTACCCTTGTAGCAGAAGTGTCACCAACTTGTAGTCTGATCTCCTAGATCTGTAATGCTAAGATCGGCTGACCCGGTCGGGATGGGAGACCTGCTGTAATGACAATAGTCCAGCAGGTGGCGCACTTTCCCCCAGACCAGATTTTACATTTCATTGTGACCAGGACCACCATGTTCAAATAAGACAGATAAGATTAGATTTTATTGTCCCCTGAGGGAAATTTTATATGGACACCCAGCACTCCTGTACATTTAAATAGAATAGAATGCAAAAAAAAAGAAGAAAAACATTGCACATTATACTATTACAAAAAAAGAAAAACATTGCACATCATTCTACTGCACAGTATAACACATAACAACATGTAACATTTATAACGCATTACAAAAACGTATTGCAGTCAAGTGGGTTGTAAGAGTCCAAATTGTGTTTATCCTTGACATTTGTGTTACAGCTTTAATGGATAGTGGGAAAAGGAATGTTTGTATCTGTCTGACTTACATTTGGGAATGGCTGTGGTGTGTCACACAGGAGGGTGCTGAAGTTCAGTGGTAGGTGAGGTGGACCTTTTCTAGGGGGTCAAACACGTTAGTCTCCATTGGGATGAGCAGGATTATATAATCATGAACGTTATTAAAGGTCATTTGAGGGTTATTGCTGCTCTGGAAGCAGAACAGTTGCCTGAGGTAAACGTAAAACTGAGGTCCTGAGTCTCTGTGGTCATTAAAAATCCCAGGGCGTTTCTCAAAAAGAGGAGGGGTGTAACCCCGGCATCCTGGCCAAAATTCCCCATTGGCCCTTACCAATCATGGCCTCCTAATGTTCCCCATCTATGAATTGGCTTCATCACTCTGTTCTCCTCCCCACTGATAGGTGATAAGAGTTCTGGCGCACTATGGCTGCCATTGCATCATCCAGGTGGGGCTGCGCATTGGTGGTGGTGGAGGGGAGTCCCCATTACCTGTAAAGCGCTTTGAGTGGAGTGTCCAGAAAAGCGCTATATAAGTGTTAGCAAATATTATTAAACATATGACAGCAGGAGCAGTAGTGTGCCTTGCAGGAATACCACAAATCCAGGTATCTGAGTTAATGTATTATAGTCCAACAGATTATCTGCTGAATACCCGTTTTCATGAACTCAACATGTTGAGAGAGAGACAATTTTCCTTCTCTGCTAACTGGAGAAGGAAATGCTTTTGTATTATTTTTTTTTTAGAATTTTTTCAAAAGAGTTGGTGACAAAGCGGTCTCAGTTTTGAAGCCCAATTATCATATTTTTATTGTACAAAGGGTAAAATCACAGTTTAAATCGAGGGCAAATTTTGAAATCAATTGAACTGTCACATCAATCTGGTTTTCGAGTGTCCTAATTTTACTGAACACGTTTTTTGTAAATATACTTTATTTTTTGCTGCCCTCTAGTGCTTTTAAGAATTACGTAGCCACACAAGAATCTGCTGCTAGCGTGAGCGAATAAAATACGAATTCGAAACTCGATACCAAGAGTTAATGTATTTCCTTTTTATTTAGAAGGGTCCAGAATAACCATAAATGGGAGCCGTAATACCGCATATAAAAAGGGCAAAGGTGGAGCTATTTTCCTCTGTAAATCAGAACTTTCTTATCGTTCTAATCGGCATTTATGTTTTACAGGTCGAGAGATCGATCTAGAAATTTGGAAATCTAGAAGCACGTTGGCCAAAAACATCCAAGTACAGACTTCCAGTGCTAAATAATTTTAAACAGGATTTCGTGTTAATTAGTCCACCATCCCTGCAGAGTAAACACACATCTTGTTAGCGTAAGATAAGTACATTCTTAACATTCTTAAAAAGTGACATTACACTTAATTTGTTATACAGGCTGAAGAACCTCATACATGTTATGCACATGTCATTAGACATTTCTGCAATTTCACATTTCTTGCAAAAAGTATATGATCACTTGTAAGATACGTAGAAATGAGAAGAGATTCGTGAATACCATACACCGCGAGCGCGCAAACATCGTCACCGGCGCTTGGCGGAAGTGATGTCATGGTAAGAGGTACCGGAAACTCAATGCGTTTACGCGGTTCCGGTGTTCAGTCGGTGGTAGAAGAGAGTTCGGCGAAAGGAGAAAGCGGTACGGTTCGGTTTTGAACAGACAGCGTTAAAGAGAAACGGGCACGCTGAGGTAAGGAGGTGACTTTAACGAATTTACAAAAGTTTCTATTCGAAGAAGCTTGTTCGAATGTGTTTGGGTGCTAGGCCCGAACCCAAGTGCTGAAGCTGGGGAAAAGTGATTCGGTTCCGATTTCAACTCTCGGCCCGGGCCGTATATCGGTGATGGAGTAGCGAAATGACGCAAAGGAGAAGAGACCTCCTGCTGTCACGTATTTGACAAGAATGGAACCAAAGTCCCCCGACCCCCACCTTGGTTGAAGGGAAACGAACTGTCTTTGGTGGTGATCAAATCTAAACTTACGTGGCTTAAATACCTGTAACTGTAAACCGGAGGGTCGAGTGCTGGGAATCGCGCTCGGCCATTCCCGTGTCGCTGGCTCCGCATATTTACACTTCAGTGACAAGCGTAGCTGCCTCTGCACGTCATTTATGGAATTGCATGTCGAGAAGGGCATTTAAGTAGCCTCTGACGCCTTATGTTCCAGACGAAACCACACTGGACAGCAGCGGAGTATTAAACGGTTGTAGTCGACTGGCTGCCGGTGTTGTCCTCGCCGATGAAGCGGTCCCTCTGAACAACTTGAAACTTTGTGCCGCTAAGAGACGATTAAGTTAGGATAGTGTTTGGTATTTCAGACGTACAGGACGTTCATCTGTGGGGGAAAAACGGAACATGATCTGTCGTGTAACTGCGAAACAGGTTGCTGTCTTTTCACTTAAAACTTCTGTTTTATTTCAGGTGACAACAACAGAAATGTCATTTATATTTGATTGGATCTATAAAGGTTTTAGCAGCGTGCTACAGTTTCTAGGTAATGTATCACACTTGTTGTTTCCTCCTGTCTATGAGCAAAGTAAACATTATCTTTATTATTGGCCTGAAAAAGCTTTCATTTCTTGATTCCTCAGCTGTATTTGTCCTTCCTAGTTTTTAGGCACTTGTGTATATAAATGCAGTAAAACATTATGGGTTGTAAATGGTTGATTGGAGTGAATAGTGTAGGTGTATATGTAGAATACTTTTCAAAACTCCTATATTGCTTCTATCCTAGTTTTATTTAGAAGATATTAGTTTTTCTTTTCAACCAGATGTTTTTTTTTTAATGTCTTTTCAGGTTTGTACAAGAAATCTGGGAAGCTAGTTTTCCTCGGCTTAGATAATGCTGGCAAAACAACATTATTACATATGCTTAAAGATGATAGGCTTGGGCAGCATGTTCCAACATTACATCCAAGTAAGTACTTTCCCTCTTTGTGTTTTTTTCTTTTAGTAGTATTGGCAGTTTTTAGAATGGATGTTTAATTTAAAAGCTAACTGAATTCATAGTAGAAATGATATTTGGTCCGTGAAACCTAATTTATGCTTTTGTAAATATGATATGAAGACTAAATGTTTTGTTCTTCCAAGCATTGCTGTAGTATAGTGTAAACAAAAATCATTTCCATCAGTCTTATTGCTGTAATGTAATGAAATTTTCCACTCTTTTTATGATAGCCTCGGAAGAGTTAACAATTGCTGGAATGACGTTCACAACATTTGATCTTGGTGGACATGCACAAGGTAAGAAATTCATTTCTGATGCAATTACATTTGTTTACTTCCCCTTTTAAGTAAAAAACCAGGTGCCATAAAATAAATCAATTAGCAATGACTCTGATGCACCTGTAGTGCTAGGAGCACAACCTTGAAGCAGTGAAAAATGTGCTTTCAGGATGGTGTTGTTCCAGAATGTGCATAGCAACACATAAGGTGAGCGAAGGTAGAAAATATTGGTGTCTATTACAATGTCATTAGCTGAAGGAGTGTTAATGTTACCAGCTGATACTGGCAGCTGCTTTCTGTAGTTTAGAGATTTCTTTTTTTTATTGTAATGATTGTATGCTGATTGTCCTGGTACTTTTATGATGTATTATGTAAAAATCAGTATATAATATTCCATAAGAAAAGCTCACTCATATTAGTGTGATTTACCTGTGCATTATACCACTTTTGCAACAGTTGTTTGTCATTTCTTCTACACAGCGAGAAGAGTCTGGAAGAATTACCTCCCAGCTATAAATGGAATTGTCTTTCTAGTGGACTGTGCAGATCACCCTCGCCTTCAAGAATCAAAAGTAGAGCTTGACGTAAGGTCATAAGTTGTTTGCATAATTGTGATAGTACTGGAATCTTGAGAAGATAATTTTGAAGTGCTTTAATTTGGGGGGGGGGATCAGATGTTGAAAATTTTCACAATTATTGTATTTTTAAGCCATACAAAACATGAACATTACTGTCCTTTACTGTAAAACCAGCAGTATTTCTATTGATACGAAAACACTACACAAGGCATGTAAATCGTAATTATGTTTTCTAAGCAAGAAAATTACATTCTCTGCTTTACAAAGTAGTGTACTTCGCACACTGGAAGATATGACTGAATGTTCGTCTTTGGGAAGATAAGCAGCATGACCTGCCAGCAGAAGTTTTGCATATAAACACTAGATACTAATTAACTAGGGCATGTAATTATCAGCCTGAAGTCGTAATGATTTGTGTAACATATTTTTGGTATTGAGTGTGATATTTTGAGCTGTCCTTTCCAACAATGAAAAAGAACATAGTTATAGAACCCATAATGGGAGAGAACATTTTCAAGAAAACCAATAGGATGTTTAAAATATACAAACGTCAGATTAAACTTGTGTGTTTTATCCGTGCTATGTTATATAGTGTTTTTTTGTAGTGTTTTTATATAGTGTTTTTGTGTTATTTTAAAATGGTTGTAAAAGCTTGTTATTGAGATTTTAGCCCTGTAAAGCAAGTAACAGCACATTTAAAAGAAAGTTAACTTTTGTACAGCAGAATGTAGTTTATAGTTGTGTAGGACATAATGTGTACAAGGTTGTACTGCTCATTGTTCGTTTTCATTAACAGGCACTATTGACAGATGAGACAATCTCCAATGTGCCAGTCCTTATTTTGGGCAACAAGATAGACCGTCCAGAAGCCATCAGTGAAGAGAGACTGCGAGAAATCTTTGGTCTTTATGGACAGACAACGGGAAAGGCAAGATTAATTGTTTTATTTACTTTCAGGAGTACACTTTTGTGCAAAGAAAACAATTTTTGCATGTAAATATATAGTCTTGTAAAAATATTCACCCCTTTCATTAATGTCTTATTTTGTTGAATTACAAACATTATGTTCTCATTTTTTGAAAGGGATTTTGAATTCAATACTCTTTTAACCAAATTGAACACTCACTTGGCAGCAGTTAAAGCTATGAGTATTTTTAAATAAGTGTCAGTATCACACGCTAGGGTGGTTCAATTTTTGGCCAGTTGTTCTATGCGAATCTGTTGTGTCAGGTTGGTTTGTATTCTTGATGGAAAGTAAACTTGAAGCTTTGCAACTGATGGAATCTGATACCATTGTACTGGATTCAGATCAGGACTAGCCCATTTAAGGACATTTGCTTTCTTCTTGTTATGCAAAGCTCAGGCCATGTTTTGTGTCATTGTCCCCCAAGAGAGTTCAAATTTCATCCCAGTTTTCAGTCTTTAGTAGACTGAAAAGGGTTTTCCTCTATGATTTGCCTGTACTGAGTTCCAACTGTTTTCCCTCAATCTTGACAAGAGTTACAGTTAATAATTGCTTACACTTTTCTGGACACTCCACTCAAAGCACTTTACAGGTAATTGGGATCCCCTCCACCACCAGTGTGAAGCATCCACCTGGATGATGCGACTGCAGCCATAGTGCACCAGTACGCTCACCACACATCAGCTATCACTGGGGAGGAGAGCAGAGTAATGAAGCCAATTCATAGATGGGGATTATCAGGAGGCCATGATTGGTAAAGGCCAATGGGATATTTGGCCAGGACACTGGGGTAACACCCCTACTCTTTTCGAGAAACACCCTGGGATTTTTAATGACCACACAGAGTCAGGACCCCAGTTTTACGTCTCATCCGAAGGACTGAGCTTGTTTACAGTATAGTGTCCCTGTCACTATACTGGGGCATTAGGACCCACACAGACCACAGGGTGAGCACCCCCTGCTGGCCCCACTAACACCTCTTCCACCAGCAACCTTAGCTTTTCCCAGGAGGTCTCCCATCCAGGTACTGACCAGGCTCACACCTGCTGAGCTTCAGTGTGCTGCCAGTTCTTCATAGTTGTTCAGCATTTCATAGTTTCTGCTGATGAGAAACAGCCCCATACCACCATGCTTGACAGTAGTGATTGAGTAATACATTGTGTTAGGTTTTTACCATGTAACACTTTGCATTTAGACTAAAATGTAACAATTTTGTTCCATAAGATCACAACACTATTTGCTACATGTTTGCGGTATTACATAGATGATCTAATACAAATTCCATATGGGGTTTGAAATAGGTTTGGCAATCTGGCATGGAGTGACCCTGATAGCCCATCTCAGCCAGTAAATTAATCTAAGAGCTCTGTCAATCTTTCAGAGTTGTTGTTGGCCTCACAGTGGCATCTATAACCAGTTTCCTCCTTGCCCTGTTGTTGTCCCTGCAAATGTAACATAGGCTAGACAGTGTCTGAGTAGTAAGATACATCTTCCACTTCTTCGTGATAGACTTCACCATGCCTTAAGAGCTTTTCTGTTACTATCCCTTTTTCAAAAGTTCTTTTGAAAGCTACTTCGCCTTCACATCTTTTCTTGCAGTTCACTACCTGACTGAGGGGAGACGTAAAGTGTACTATATTGATTCATGTGAACTATTATTATTGCACACAGATTCATTCATCTATTTGTGTGACTTGTCAAAATACTTCTGTGCATCAGAACTAGTTTAGGTTTACCATAGCAAGGGAGGTGAATACTTAAGCAATAGACATATTTTAGTTTTTCATCTTTCTTTGCAGTTTTCACCTGTAAAAATGTTCAGTTTGAGCATTCCAATTTTGCTTACAATATCCACAGCAATATTCTGGTTAATGCTTGAGCAGTTTGTTACATGTGGGCCGCTTTTTGGCGTAATGTGTTGCCACTTGTCTTTGTGTATTTAGGGCAGTGTGCCATTGAAGGAGCTGAATGCAAGGCCAATGGAGGTATTCATGTGCAGTGTGCTGAAGAAACAGGGGTATGGAGAAGGTTTCCGCTGGCTTTCACAGTACATTGACTGATCTCTTCGGGATTGAGCTGTGCGGACTGAGGTGACTCCTAACTTCGTGACAGTTTTTGTACCTGGACGTGGAAAAGACAAAGGACTTACACCTTATACTGGAGAGTTGTCAGCAACCAATGTATTTCCTCACCTTAATTACAGTATGTAAATGTCCAAATGGCCAAATATTTAGCCCTGTACTGCACAATTTGCTCTGATTTAGAAGGTGTGTTACCCTTAAGTACAGGGTGATGCTTAGAAATGACACAGAAGTTTTCTAAATTGGGAATGGATTAAATAAAACCCCCTGCCTGTTTTATATGGCTCTTTCATTTTAAAAGGTATAGTCATTGCAAACAAAAGGTCTTCTAATGTTATGTAATCCATTTACTTTTGTGCAATTAATTGTGAATTTATGTAAATATCTCCTTAAATAAACCCAGTTTTCTAGAGTTTAATTTCCAATTATAAAGACTGGGTACATGAAGGGAAAGTGTGTCGGTAAGGAGAGAAGCAATATTCAGATGCACTGCTATGATGATACTATGATTTGATTTAAACAAAACTACTAGAAATGTGGCTACTATTGGCTTTCGGAAAGATTACATATGGTTTTAAGATTTCTATGTAAAACTGATTATCAGTTTTAATTAACTCCGTTCTTCTCCTGAAAATTAAACCCTCACTAATGGTAACTAAGTGGAATAAGTGAGTAGACAACAAAAGGTCTAATTTAGTTTGAATAAAAAATAAGTTAAACTTTTATAGTACATTTAAAGAATATTTTGGCAAATGTCTCATATATCTTTACAGTGGTCCCCAGTGTCACAGATATGCCCATATTGTGACTGAAATAAGTAATATTAATCTCTTAAAAAAACAAGATCATAACTAATTATTATTATTATAACTGTTTCTGGGGGGAAAGGAATAATTGCACAGAATTGGACAGAATTTGCCAATGCTACTATATCCAGTATAGACTCATCAGAAATGTGCAGCTCTTTTTAAATTTACAAATGGATGTGTTTTCAGTGCATTGTGATGCACTTCAGTTTTTGCTTAAGTAGAATCGAGATGGAATATTTTTTGTGCAGTCCAGTAAAATACTCATGAAAAAGTATTTCACATAGAGCAATAAAATGTGGAGAACAGCAATAGCAAATCTGGTGGAAAAATGTCAAGGGTGATCCATTCTTTAAAAGTATGTGATGATGGAAACTTTGAACACCCCATCCTTACTACAAAAGGTATAATTATGACCTAGCATGCAAGTATAATGCTTTACAACAATACTAGGCAACAGAAGCGCTGGATCGGTTCCACTGTTTCTAGTTAAGGCAGAACGGATTTGTTCAAATGCTCTAAATTTACACTTCACGTTACCTCTTACGGTTTGAAGTGTTTGGTTTTTTTGGGGGAAATGGGGTATTGACTAACTAGAGCGGTATGGCCATCACTGGTTTGCTTTCTGTTTTATTTACACTACGTTTACAAGCTTTCATGTTTTATTTAACTTTGCATTTAAGATTGGAATGCCTTTATTTAAAGCTTTTGCTGCATACACAAGGTAACACTGAGACAATTTTACTTTGTATTGTAAAGAGCGGGGGGGGGCAAGGGGATTCCTTTATGTACTGTACATGTTAATGCAGATAATGACGTTTGTCCGTGTTGTCTACTGTTAGAATTCTTTCACTTATTACACAGCAGGGGTGGAGTAAGTATTTTTTGAATATCAACTGCTGTACGTACAAGTTACTGTAAGTCGCAGGTTGAATATGAGAGTACTTATTTTGTACCGAAACATAACTTGAGGAATTCAACAGCCTTTGTATGTGTACTAAGAATATACATCACGCACCACTTTTATTTGCAGCATATTTGTAAATAATGTAAAATAGCTTGGGCTTTTATGCATCTTATTACAATTCATGAACTACTGGAAATGTCACTGAAGGAAATGAAAATGAAAAGGAGTACAGTTTTATTGATTGTATACATTTGGATTGATAATCACCAAAAACATTTTAATCAGTCATATTAGCCATCTGTCACATTGTCCGTTTTGACCTTTTTATTGATGAGATTTTATGGCTCTAAAGTAGCAATTTTAAAATACTGTCACATAATGAGCATGTTCTTTTATGCAATTTGTACATAATACCCATGCTCTAAAGTCCTTCAATAGCACATGCTTACAGATCAAACTTTTACCTCCCAAATTGTCCGTAATACTTTCTAGCAACATTCTTATTGTTTTCCATTTGGGTCATTTCAATATATAAAAATAAATGTTGTACAAAGTTGTTTTGGCCTTTACATGTTTTGCGTATTTTTTGCCATGTTAACACAAATAGAAATGGCAGTTAGCCTTTGCTCATCATTTTGAGACTTGTTTGCCACACTTAGTTTTTTCATCCCTTGGTTAGCAGGGCATTGTTAGAATTGACAGAGATTCTATAATTTGTTAGAATGTACAGAGCAAATGTGTTTTGTTTTTTTTGCTTCACGTTCTGAAAATGAAATGAATTGGAGCTTCTTACATCAGACCCCATAAAGCATTGTGAACACAAGATGACACCTTCCTTGGAAGCTGTGTGTTGTGATTGCTTAGCTGTGTTCCGAAACCGCGTCACATTATTCACAGAAAGTGTGGTCCTTCAGTCACAGCACACCACCATCCAAACTGAAAACAATGCAACAACTCACAGAGATGGCAGTACCTCCATATGTGTTTCATAGAGGGGATATTTTCTCATTCTGGGCAAGCAGAGGCTAATTCCAGGCTGGTTCTGGTGTGTGAGAGAAAGGTGCACTAATATGAAGCAATATTGAGTAGATACAGATAATATTATTATAGTTGTTTTGTTCATTGTAAGATACCTTGGACAGAAACCACAACCTGGAGAACACTCAGGTGTGTTGAATCTTCCTCCAGTGTGGCACTGGTGGTATAGGGAACCCACCCCTGCTGAGCTCTTTGCTCAAGAGAAATCTTCCCTTAATCAGTAAGACATTTGGTTAGAATCTCTGCAGTCGTGTGTCTGCTCAAGGCTCGAAATGTTAAGCACAATTAACAAATTCCATAGTTAAAAAGTAAAAATAAACTCCCAACAGGTTAAGGAACTGAAAACCAATTAAAGAGATGTAATCAAACCTATTATTAGATCTATTAAGAGGCAAAAAATTTGATTGAGGGCTCAAAATACAAGTGTGTGGGTCCCCACGTTCAGGATTGGCAATTCCGTGGTATAGGCTTGCCCCCAAAAAGAAAGGCAATCTTTTCGCCCAGTGTACAATGATAATAAGTGCACAGCGCACCTGTTGACCTGCAGCTCGGCTTTTAATATTTAATATTGCAAACAACGATTTTAAAAAACAGAGGTTCTCGTTGAATAAAAGTTTTGAAAAAGACTCCACACCGCTGAAATTGTTCAGACCTCCTTTTAGCGCTCACCACGCACTCCTCTCGCCTGGCTTTTTCTGGCCAATCGGATTTGGAACCACAAACAACAACCAATAGAATAATCCTATATCCCATATTTTTTTCGCCACCCAATGAAATTGCACGTTGAAAATCTACGTCACACATTGGAAAGGGGAGCCAATGAAAACCGATTATTTCATTCGTGATCTTTCTTTTCCGGAAGCGAGTGTGTTACTGACTGCTGTTCGAGGCTGGCCAGTGTGATTGGTAAACGACACGTTTTGGTAACTCAACTGAAACATTGAAAGTTTAAGTTCTAATTTTTTAGGCAGATTGCTGTCTTGTTGATAAAAATGTGACATCCTTCTGAGTTAGAATTCATTTAATAACGATAGTGTTCTTAATTGTGTACGATGTTTTAATCTATCAAATGGCTCATGAATTACGAAAAATATAGGTTTCCATAAGTACACACCTAAAAGCAGCGATACATTGCTTATATAAATAAGCGAAAATTGCTTTTATGGATTTCCAAAATACATTTCGTAACATTAGCACGACGGTGTCACACGAAATAAGGTATAAAGTACTGTAAAATATAGATTTTTAATTTATTATGCAAACTGCTTTGTACGTTGAGTGTTTTATCGCTTTCTGTAATTAAGACTAACGTCGAGTCTCATTTTAGGTGATTAATATGAGAATGTTGCGTCCGTTCTTCGTGCATAGAGTAATCTGAGAGTCTTTAAAGGGCGTATGTCAGACATGAGAGCCGTAGAGGACTGGGGTTGCACGGTGTCGGTTTTTGAGATAAGTGAGGAGTCTTTACATATAAACATAACCAGCAATGGGAAGGTTTCGAATCCTTCTGTATCCGAGGGTCCACAGCGCGGTTTAGCCGAGCCTTTAAGCTGCAGTGGGACCCTTTTGGACAGTCGGTCTGGGATAGTGCTGTGTCACAGCCTCGTCTTCTCCGCTTTCCTCAATAAAAGCATCAATATCTCCGATTATCGGGTCCTGTTTCCAGACAGCTTCAGCAGTAGGCTGCACGTCTACGTGCAGCGCCCCGAAGAACTTAAAAGTGTAGATAACACGAAGCAGCAAAGCCATGTAATGCGCCAGTGCCTCGGAAAAGCCAAGCAAACCGTGTCCAAGCCGTCCCCTCAGAAGGCAGAGCTCCTCATGCTAGTCTCCAATCCGCAATTCCAAAAAGCGTTCACGAGGTTATTTAATAAACCAGATGAGTGGAGATTTTGCAGCAACACAGGGGATATAGACCTGGATGACCTAAAAAAGGACACAGAGTTTCTAAGTTGGTTTGCTGTGCTTAAGGTTCCAGGCCTTTTGGGTAGAGGGCAGAGAGCTCTACCTTGGGTGTCCAGTTCTAGTCTGAAAAAGGGGGATGTCGTTTTCGCCTGTGGCTCCCCGTTTGGCTCCTTCTGTCCTGACCTATTCATGAACACCCTCAGCAAAGGGATAGTGAGCAATGTCGCCGGGGAGAGCAGGGCCTTGATCCTCACGGATGCCCGCTGCCTGCCTGGCACAGAAGGAGGGGGACTCTTCTTGGACAAAGGGGGCCGCTTCTGCCTTGCTGGGCTGATAGTGTCCCCGTTATGTTGGAGGGCAGGGGAATGGATTGGCCTGACGCTGGTGTGTTCCCTGGAGTCCGTTGTCAGGAACATTTGGTTTGTGAATAAAGGGGACCCTTGCCTGAATTGGATACTGTCCGACACCCCGTCGCACTTCGTACAAGATCTGCCAGTCACAGGTGAAGCCAAAAGTGTTAGACAGCACCCCACCGTAGCATTAGTACAGAGCGGCGAGCTCTGGGGCTCTGGAGTCCTGATGAACTCAAGAATGATGCTGACATGCAGACACGTTGTGAACGGAGCTTCGAGGGTGGTTGTGAAGATCAACAATAAAGAGAGGTATTTCTAGCTTTGTCACTCTTGAACTAGTTTTGCCAAGGGACTTGTAGGTGTATCTCAGGATTTTGAAAAAGGGTTTGCTGTGCTTTGCCGGTGATTTTCAAGGGGACAGAGTTACATGATCATGAAACATATACCAGTGCCTTGCAAAAGTATTCAGACCTTTTAAAAGTTTTCCAAAGTTACTGGATTCCAAATCATGCTTGCACATCTTTTTCACAATCAGTATTTTTATTGCCAACTCACATGCTCAA